CATCGTGCAACCAAATCCCATTGTGGCTCGCTTCCCCATTTTTACTTTCCAACTTGTATAAAGGAAAGTATTGTAATCGTGATAAATTTTCGATAAGCCAATATTGCGTTTTCTGCAAATTTTTTTTGTGATCACGATAACTAAAAAACCCCTGAACCGATTTGGACCAAATTTGGGGTGCAAAACGTCCTATTTTGGTTTTGATCCGTAAGCATCTTCATGGTTGTTGAGGGCGTCAAAAGTTTAAAAGAACCATAACGGCTTGAAACATTTTTTCGCATACACTGGCCAAAATGGCTGAAAAAAACTGTACAAAAAAGTTCATTACAATTTTTTTGTTAGTTTCTTTGTTTTTGAGAATGTTCAGAAGTGAAAAATGTTAATTAAAAAAGATGTGTCGCTTGATGACATCTACAAAAGGGCTTCATTCCGGGTTGGCCATTAGTTGTGTGGGTGGAAGATTGTGGGTTTATTAACGCACATACTTAAAATTCATTATGGGGGAACGTTGAAGGACCCTTAAGGCTACAACCTAAAAATATTTTCACCGAAATTGCAATTGTTATACAGGGTGATTTATATCAAAGTTGCATTTTTTTTAATGGAACCCCCTGTATATTATTACGTATTTCGATTCCTTGGTCAATTGTGACTTTATGTATTACACATGATATCTAAAATGAGTAGTTTAGCCGCAATTCGTCGTTTTTTCAAAAAGTAAATGTCCAGTAAAAATTGAATATCGCAGTTATCATAAAACTTAGAAGGCCTTGACGTTGCAGTGGTACTAATCATGAAATGTACTAACATACGCTGACACCTTTAAGTAATCAGTAGGCCTTAAATTAAAAAAACAATTATTAGAAACTGTTTGAATTACAAAAATAGGTTAAGAGATACATACCGACATGGCCTTATATCGTTTAGAAAAGGTAATAAAGTTTCATTTCATTACAATAAAAAAACTTCAATAGTTCCATTGAAAAAAATCACTAGATCCTAGTGACTTTAACACCGCACGCTAACTATGCGCATCTATTGAAATGTTTCTCCAACGTATTGTATTTGTACTCAGTTGTTCCCGGGAGGGGGTAACATCTTCCGCAATACTGTCACAAATTGTCTACAATCGCTTGCAATCCCTCTGATTGCTGTGGAAATCTCCCTCACAGTCCCACAATCGCGTTTGCAATCTCACAATCGCCTAAAACAATCTCGCAATCAGATTCGCAATCCCGCAATCGTTTGACAATCTGACAATCACATTGGCAATCGTGCACACCCTCACCTGTTTTTAGGTATAATCACACGCCACGCGGGGTTAGGCAAAAAAGTTATTGCACCTAACTTTATTTTTTTAAATGGAAAGCCCTGTACTACTTAATAAACCCCTAAAGCGGATCTAAAAAAGCGGCACAGCACCTCGGAATAACCCTACACCTCATTGGATTTGACTCATTTTCAATTGCCTTGTTACATGTGGTATATATGTTAACTGTGCAAGTTTCAACCGATTAGGCTCATGAGTTTGGCACAAACAGAGAGGCGCTTAATAATCTACAAATATAGTATATTAACTTTTAAAAAATATAATACACTAAGGATGATTCAAAAAGGGCTCAAAAAAGATTAAAAAAAAGGTCAAACGATTTGATAAATATAATAAAATTTTAAAAAAATTTTTGAATCTTTCGGTTTTTTAAATCTTTTGAATCTATTGAAATCAATGTGGAATTTTTGTAGTAGGTATTTGGGAAAAGAGATTCTTAATATGTTAGTTTTTTATTAAAATATTTCAATTTAAAAATGGACGTAGGAAATTCAAAAAATTGTAAATCTCAGAAGGAACCTATCTCGGAACCTATATTTATTAAAGGAGATTTAGAAAGATTTTTCTTACAAGTTTCTTTATAAGACTGTTGAATAATCTGCTGTTTTAAAATAAGTGTACGGGATCAGGTAAAAAGTTATAGGACCTAACCCGAGACCTAACGTCATTTTTATAGTAGAATGCTCTGTATATTTCATTCGAAAAAGAGCATATTAAATTCACTTTCTAGAAATATAACACAAACTTAAAATGTGCAATATTAGATTTTTGAAAAAATTTCAAAATGTTTAATTTTTTGTTGTTTTTTTAATATTTGAATCTTTCTTAAATGTTTTAATTCTTTTTTAATAATTTTGAATTTTTTTGTTTTCCCTATCGCGAGCGTTATATATTAAAAAAGAAATTGTTAATATGCTATCTTTTTAGATTAAAACATACAGGGTGTTCTATTTAAAAAATGAGGTTAAGTCCAGTAACTTTTTTGCGGACATCGTATATGTAACATTGTAACCTATTTTGTAAACGGCAGATTACCCAGCAAGTAATTTTGTAATAAACATTATTTCGTGTCTCTTTTTATTCTGATATTGACAATTTTTGATTTTCCCTTGTATCTCTGTAAGCGAGCGAATGTTTTCAAATTTTGATTGTGCCATTTTTTAACATTGGCCCAGAAAGAGCACATACCACTTAGTTTGTGTGATTTGAGTGGGCCACACCCCTATTAGATTTATCGGATTGTATAGAACTTGTTCCATTGAAATACTCTTCTTTTTAGCACATTTCCACAAAAATAAAAAAAAATTACTATTGTGGCCACTTTGCCCGTCCGTCTCTAGTTTTTCTACTCTTTTCGGTATTGGTTCGTTATGCTGTCAAGGTTTGCACCAAGGAAGGAATTTTTTCTGTGCCGCTTACGAACAAAGTTATGGTAAAAAACCCATTTTTTTGAGATTGTATTGTATTGCTGTCTGGCTGTATGCCCGTCTGTCAGTGTATCTGTCTGTCTGTTTGTCCGTCCGTGTGCACGATAGCTTTTGTATTTGCGCAATCCATTTTTTTAATTGTTAAATACTTAAATGAAACTTTTTATGTAGGCTTGTAGATGTAGATGGCGGCCTCGACTAAAGTAAAACTAGTGCCGAGTCAAAAAATATGTTGGGCTCATGCGCAATCGAATTTTTTTTATTTGTTAAGTTATTGAAATGAAATTTTGTATGTAGGCATCTCGAATAAAGATGAAACTAACGCCAAATCAAATAATTTGTTTTGCGCATCCCCAGAAATACCCTGACATTTTAGGGTAGAGTTCTTTTTATAAACTGAAATTGAAGCAGCAAGTCAAAAATGGATTGCACATGTGCAACGCTAACTTTCTTATTTGTGGCCGGATTTTTACGAAATTTTAAGTTTAAGTTTGCTTGCATCTTACAGTATGGGAAATGAATGCAATTGTAATGCGCTGAGTAATGCGCTTTTTATAAATCGTTTACGACGAGGTTTACGATTACCTTTTTAACTTCTTATTTGTGTGTTTAAAACTCGGTTTAAAAGTACCTGTTACCAACTAATAATTCCCTAATAGCCACCATAAATGAATATGTTTCTTGCTTAGGAAATGCCCGTGTATAGCAACTTGAGCAGCTACCAAAAATCATTGTCAGTCACCCACAATCACCTGCAATCATTTACAATCGTCTGCAATCATTCATAATCACATGCAATCACAATGCAATCCTCTAAAATCCGACAATCCCATCGCAATCGCCGAATTGTGGTCGCAATCGCAGCAATCATAGGGAAATCATGGGGATTGTCGCAATACTGTCACAAAATTTGAGAAGATGTTCCCTCGGTACTTACTAGAATGATACCTTTAAAACGCATCAATAATGGAAGTCATTTAATCGTAATGTAAAGTTTTAGCTGGTTATATGGACGAATCATGAAGTGTCTAATTTGAGGAGAGCGTCCATCTCTATGCACTGAAAAAGACAGCTATTTTATTTCAGCTTGGTCACCTGTCGGCGCCCGGCGAAATACGTCGCACGCCACTCGGTAGCGCTACTGAGCGACTTAACTGTTGTGCCCACGACACGGTAGCGTACCCTGCTACTCCTCCGCAGCGTTTAAAAAACGTTGGTGTTGGTGAAGAACCTAGAAAACAGGAGAATCTCGATAGTTCCTGGCAGTCAGCCAGGAATAAAAGTGCTGGGGAAGCAAGAGGTGAACTCTGGCTGAAGTGGATCCAAAACCTCAGCCGGCTGGCAGAACATAATAACCTCACTAATATGGGTATCCAGGCAGTCTGCTGTTATTAAGGGATAACGAAATGACCCACCAAGTAGCTAAAGAACATGGACAGTTACCTTTTATAGGATCTCAACCGGTATGTGGAATCGCACATATAACTATGGGGCCTTGAAATAGACGCACTGTATAGAGGGTGCAGAGAGGAAGAAGAAACATAGGTTACTGGGGGCAACCATTAATGCTTCAAAATGCTCCTCAATTAAAATAAATCTGCTCAAAAACTTTCACAAACCTCCAATGGCATAGTGAAGTGGCTGCTGTACTCAGCACTAAAGGTCCCTGGTTCAAGTCCGGACTTAGGCATGGGTTTTTGGGCATATATCTAGTGGGTTCGGTTAGTACAGCAGCCTTGGCTACAACCATGCTCTGTTGAGACCCAGCACTTTCCTTTCTCTCCACTTCTGCAGTGTAAGAAGACAATTTAATGCAGGGTTTAAACTGGGAAAAAATTACTTTGAGCAAAAATGCTATAGGCTCTTACAGAACTGTAGCAAAAGTAATTTTCTTGTAGCATTTGTGTCATTTGATATTTAGTTATTAAATGTATAAGTTACTCATTTGTTTGTTGCCATTCCACTTGAGTCATGGTTATTCAATTAAAAAATATAACGCTGAAAGCGGAACACAATACGAAAATCTGCGGCTCTAAACATTTACACATTCAACAAAATGAAATAAATTTCATTTAGGTAATTTTTTTTGCCGCAAGAAACGCGACAGCCTGCCTCAGCAACGTGGCAATTTCGCCTTTGGGGTTGAAAAATGCGACCACAACTTAATCCCTGTGTTAATAGTTTATAATATCAACCAGTTTTGCAATCTGCAACGGTCACAGATTTCCTTATGGTCCATAAGGTCATCTCACTATTCTATTCTCTACGCTATACTTATACATACACAAAAACTGCTTTTCCCACTGTATCAAGACTGTAGGACCAAAAGGCAACGGAACCATCCGTACTGGTACTAATTAAATACCGAACATCCCAACGTGATGACGGGCAAAAGTTCACAGATGTAATAATTCCAGCTTGTGCCACCAACACTGCCACAGGATAACCGAACTGCAAATTCCAAACACGTAGGATCCGATCAATTGACCCCGCCGCCAGTAGGGTATTTTCCAAATTGATCGCAATATCTGTCAATTCCGATGAGGCCCCGCGAAAGGTAGCAAGTAACCGTCCCGTCGTAGACGACCACACTTTGATTAACAGATCATCTGCACCCTGTAAAATTGAAATTCTAGGAAGAGCTTCTAAACACTTTCGTTACTACCATACAGTTACAATAAATCTTCCGGTACGATCAAACAGCAGGCAATAAACGGCAGACAGATGGCCCAAAGTTCTCCTTTGTAGTTGAAGATTTGCATATCTACTTGAACCGACTACTAAATGTCGAGTTGTTGGACCAGACATTTGTCGGCCAATACAAACATTTACTGAAACAAATACTAAGTGGTTTTTCGGCAAAATAAAATAGCATTATACCTATATTATGTGTGCTTTTGAGGAATGGCGGGTCCAGTAATGGTTTCCCATGTATTCGCGCAGCATAATACAGTTGGGCGTTATTACATCGTTTGTGGTCAGTACGTCTTAATAACGATTGTCTCCCTGCACCTAATAACGATGGAGCTCGTTTAATGCTGGGTGGTAACTCCCTGTCTAAAATGCATCCGAGGCGCGAACAAATTTTTAATAAGTAGTCTGGCCCTATGTGAGGATAGTGTTTTTCCTAAATTGTAAGAGTGAAAATTCAGTAAACAAATGGGTCAATGAAAAGATTACCAATTCTGCTAAATTGCGCCTGTGCTCATTTCCTTTCCAGTCAAGACGATTTGGTAATATCTAAACAAAATAATGTTGTATTTAACATGTTCCTTGTATAGTTACTTACATTTGAACTTTCCAACTCCTTTACGAGCATCTGGAAAAGAAGTTTCTTCAGAGATAGCTCCTGAAAAACCAATACATACCTGATGTGTCTCTTTCAAGGGACTAACAGATAAACATTTCTGTATAAGAAAATACAATTCTAAAAATAAATAAAATTAATTCAGGTTTTTAACAGGTATAGGTGATACCTGTAACAATTTCATTGCCTTTGCTCGTACCTGCCTCAGAACTCATCTTAAATATATCTTATTTATTATCAATGTTTTTATTTATATTTACACATTGTAAGTTTAGACTTATTTGTACGTTATTTAAATCAATTGAAAAAATTCTTTAAGGTTAGAAAACAACTGTTATGGGGTAAGCTGGTTGTACTGACCGTTTACAGTTGTATAGTTGGCAAACCTGACTAACAGTGACGGATTAAGTTTTGAATAGATTATTTCACTTTTTATAGATTTTTCAATACTTCTTTTTCTAAATAAATGTAGAGTATTGGCATTGTAGTATTGGACAAAGATAATATTTTGTACAGCAAAGTAAGAGTGTAGGTAATACATGTATTTGTATTTCTTCAACTCTATCCATGACACTGACAATTTAATTCCACAGAGTGGAGCAGAGTAACTTGCTTATTTGGTTACTCAATAAAAACAAAACATATACAAATATAAATTTTAACATCATTAGAAATTTATGTTTACTTGATTTTAGAAATTATGTCAGGCAAATATAGCGTCCATTATTTTCAGTCCACTGTCTCGATTTTGAAAGTTATATTGAATAATTGAACTCTTTGCGGGACATATGATCTAAGATCGTCCCTTTCTAGAGTCAATGCGTCCCTGCACTACGTAATTAGTGCAGTTGTTTTCTGGGTGTACTTGCTTTAGTGCCTGACAGGTGGTGCTACACTTTTATAAATTCTACTGTCTGCAATCCTTTATAAATTTCTTCTGTAATTAATGAGTGCCTAAACGAAATACAAAGCAAAATACAATACACCCTATAATCCCCAACAACCACAAAAATGGTAAGTGATAATTTCACTTTCGTTAATGTCATATTTATAATGGTTATGTAGGTATAACAACACAAACTTAACCTCACAATTTAAATTTTAGGATGTATTTTTAATGATTAGAAGAAAAAAGCTAACTATATTTACAGACGCAAAGGATACCACAACGGTTTTAGAATTAAAGAAAATGATTGAAGGTAGGCACACACAGATGGTTAATGTTATAAGTAAAAATACTGTTTAAAGGGATTTTGAAAGTGGCACCTCATAACCAGCAACTATTCAACAAAGAAAATGCTGTTATGGAGGATGTAAAGATGCTGCAAGATTACGGACTTTCTTCAACAACCGCCAAAGCTCAAAGTCCTGCAACTGTTGGTCTAGCTGTCAGGTATATATTGTTAAATAAATGAGCTTGGATACTATCTAGTTTTCAGAGATGAGAACGGCGCATTTGAGCCTTTAGAATTAACTCCTTATTCTTCACCACCTGATCTACCTGATGTTATGAAATCTCAAGAAAGCAACGGTCAAGAACAATCTTCTTAAACTCCATTGTACATTATTACTCAGAACTGAATTTATTCCTTACATTCAGTACCAAAATAGATAATTTTATTTTAACCATTAATTTAACGATTGTCATATTCAGTTTATTATTTAAAAATGGCAACATAAAATCAGATCAACATTATAGACTAAAGTCTATGATGCATTCTAAATCTTAGTAAGTCCTAGTTTACAAGCTTTAATAATAGTCTCTATTGAGTACTTTCTCCATATGAATGTATTTATTATATGTACAGTTTTTGCGAGTATATAGTAGTGGAAGAGCTGTATTGCTTTAGCTCATTTTTGTAAAACCAGTTACCAATGCTAAATCTGAATATTTGGAATTTTTTAGGCTTTATAAATGCAATTTGTTGATGTTTACGAGAAGTTATAACAATTATTGTGAATCTTAACAAATGTAAATGGTTTTGGTAAGGATAGATTAATAAATTAAGGTTTGACAGTTGGACATAATTTTTTTATGCACGAGATATGGATATAATATTGAAACTGGATGATAATTATTCATATCAGTTTGATTCCCCTTTTTCAGGATCGGAATAACTGACGTAATTTTTAGCACCATGGGAAAAGTATTACTTCAGTACATATATACACGCTTTAATAATTTTTGTAAGGGGTACAGTGATGTGGTGAATAATTGTTTTTATGACTATGGCATTAGTCCAAAGGTCCTTGCTCTTATTGTTTCACATTTTTTAAATTGTTTCTCTCACATCACTGAAAGAAACGGTGGCATTGTATAGTGCATATTGGAAGCTCACCATATGTATCAATCATCATCATCAAATGTAGTTTTGTTATTTGAATTTAATCAAATAGTTCATATGCATCAAAGAATAGTTCCAAGCTTTATTCATTGCAATGTTCCTATCACGTCATACACACATAACCTTGACATTCAGTACACGGAGGTTAGTTATTCAAACACAAATTGAACTAACCTTCGTGTAGGTACTAAAAAAAGTGTTTTTGTTTATCTTATCAGACTAACGACAAATAAATGATTCGTTACTTTCACATTTGTCATTTAACAATAGAAGAGGAAAATGCACTAGAGGTGGTGCCAATACTGCTTATCACTAACAGATAGTGGCTGATACAGCATTTTATTGTGTCATATGCCTGTTGTAATTATCCTATGGTCTGTGATTATCCTGTTTTAGATGTTGTTAGTTGTTTAGTTGTGTTTCGTTTGGTAGACAAGATCTGTAACTATGAGCAGTAGGTCGGTAAGTACTTCATTTCAAATGAATGTATTGTGCATCTAAATTGTTATTTGTATATTACTTACCGTTTTGAAAGATTTTTTGAAAAGTTCAATACATGAACATTGTGATTGAGGTAACAACAACAAGTTCATAAATAAATAAACCATGGTGTAAAGGGGTTCTAGAAAAGGGGCAGAGCGGTGTGATTTGTGTGGATTTGAGCAATTTTCAATGGGCTGGTTATATCTGACATATAACTGTGCAAAGTTTGAACCAAATCGGTTTAAGCGTTAGCTAGTTATTATGTTCACAGACAGACTCCCATAATAAACGCTTTGCTCTGCCGCTTGATAAATAAAATTGTAAAATAATTATAACCGATTAAATAATGCACCCTCGTATGCACCTATTTTCATAGGTAGATTCATTTAGCTAATGAACCATTCCTAATCTTAAACAGAGGAGCATCAAATATGAGGGTACTGTTCACCAAAGCACCCAGATAGCATGGATGTTAGCCAATCCGTTTTTTTAAATTCTTCTAATTATCGTCACATGATTAATGTATCTTATAGATTGATTCTGGCCGCTTTTTTAAGCATTTCTGTTTCGGTTTCTGTAGCAATTTGTAAAGTTCCAGGATGTGAGCAGCTTACAGCTTCAAATTCGTTATAGGTTTGTTAATAGGTATTTGTGTATTAATTGAAAGCATACATAGCGGATACAGAAATTGGTACCTACTGCCATTGTTTTTCTGTGTTAGTGCCATTTACCTGTAGAGATAGTAGCAATACTGCTTTGTTGGGTATTTTGAGTACCTAAGTATATGGTTTTGTTCACTGTAAATTTTTCTGTTTAATTGTTTTTTGTAATTTGCTCAATGGATGTTTTACTTTATAGTTTATGACAAGTAAAAAGATCATTTGATTTGATTTTACTACATTGTCACATCTGTGTGGAAGCTCCAAAACGTTCATGTTTTGAAAGAATGATCCATCACTTAGGTACCTACATTTGCTGAATTTAGAGAGGAGAGTGAACAGATGCCCAGTCTCACTTTGACTCTCTATTACATATAGCATCAACCATAAACTGGATTCAATTTATACTACTAAAGATAAGAAGTCCATAAAACTCATTTATGCCACGTTCTCTTCTAATCAGGGATCAATTAATAAACTTAAGAAGTGTTTTTTAATTTGTCATAAAAAAAATTTGGAATTAAGTATAACAAAAAAGGACGAGTACAGCTCCACTATTTTATCTACGACAGTAGTTCAAATGTACGCCTGTGAATGACATGATGCTTATACACTGCAAATTTAAAGATTCTGAAAAACTTTACAAGATTTCTATACCTACCTGTACATCAGTAACAGTTACAGAAAATAGCAGACCTCCGTCGTACATTAAATTAACTTAACTTTAGGAGTGTAGGTAAATGAGAAATTCAATGTAGCGTTCGGCTTATGAATTTCTCATTTACCTACACTCATATAAAGAAATTGAAAACATGGAAAACTGTACAAACAACTTAACTTTCTTCAATAAACAAACTTCACTATCAAAAAGACGAACGCCGTCGTAACATCCAACAGCCTGACTGTCAAAAGCAGAGTTTAAAACATTCACAAATACTGTCGGACAACCACCGACAAAGTTTACGATCCAAAAATCACATTTTTTATGATATCATAAACAAACAGCCAATCAGAACCAAATTTGAATAACGCCAGCTTTGAAATAAACTGCGCACCTCTTTTATCCTCTCTTTTTTAACTTCTCTTATCGACGATATCACGTGCTTATCTTGAAACTAATGAAATTTCAGGTTACGCAACGCGATAACAAAATCGATATAGGCGGACGTATTGTTTGGGCTTGATAATAATGGGTCGCCCTATATGTGGAATACCAATTTTTGTAAGTTTAAATTTGATTACTGGTTTTATTTAAATTGATCGCCTTGTAATTTATTTATTTAATTGTAAAAGTGAAATTACATGTTAAAATGTAGGGACATCTGGTTGTATTTGCGCGTATTAAAAGGTGTTATCTGGTGATTTCAATCAGAATTGGAACTCGGTGTTTAATTCAAAACCAGCAACTGTATTTAAGCTTACAAAAAGTGGTATTCCACATACACCCTGTATGTGTTGGCCAAGCCCAAACAATACGTTGTTTACACAACAGTATGAATAAACTAACAAGATTTTTTCAACTTAGAATTTTCTAATTTATTCGTACTTTATTTGCTTCTTCATGTTTTTCTTTTTGTCAAGGTTTATTTTGCAAGGAGAAAAGTATTTCACTATATCACTGGAATTTTAAATTTGAGTAGTTGCTTAATAATCTCAAATATAATAATAATATTAATAGCCTTGCTAAAATATGGTACAATTTTCCACAGGGATGCGATATATGTGTTTGCAAGGAGGATCTTCCAAACCACAAAGGTTCTCTTCAACATCGCTTCAACTTTGCATTATTTGAGTGGACTAAATATAGGTAAACAGTCAGTATAAGGTAATGCCTATTGCTTTAATTGTGTTATACAGACGAGCAATTGTCAAGAACCGAAATGGCATAGAAATTGAGGTAAAACTCCATAACATAGAAACGAATCGAAATGATTTGGTGTATAAGTTTGAAGAAAAAAAGGGTCGTCATGGAATGACGGTAAGTCTGTAACCGAGTCTGTAACATTAAGTTACAGATGCCTTTGATTTTTATTTTTCAGGTGTTGGAACAGCGTGCTAGAGATGAAATGGTACAAAACAATGGGATCAGCTATATCTTCACTGTATTAAATAAGCAGCGATCTAAAAGTATTTTCTTAATGGGTACAATGCTTTTACATCCAAATAATAATTTTAAATTGGAGGATTTTGAAGGAAAAATGACAGAAAATACTATTTTACAACTTGAACCAAGTAAGAGAGAGGTGTTATTTTTGCAATACTGATGGTGGTTGATTGATTTACAGATCAATCGCATTTCTTAAGCTTTCGTTTTAACACGTCACTATGTTGTGTTTATATATAATAATGGTGCAATTATTTTAGATGCCTCATACAGTTTTAAAGTTACATTCAACTTAAATCGTGTAAAAGTGAGTACTTTCGCCATGCCCGTAGCTATACATCTGCAGACCGAACGTCTTGAAAATTTTACTATATCTCGAGAAATGGTGAGTATAAAGTTTAGACCATTTTCATATATTTTCAAAGAATCAGAATTTCGTTATGGAAATCCCAATGGTGAGCCACGAATTCGAACCACCCTGTATAATGTATGTACTATGTGGAAAATCAATTGAAGCCTAATTTCAATTACTATCTATTCAATAGATGCTACCAAAACAGCAAAACCACAAATTTAATAACAGTATTAGCTTCATTTTTTTTACCACCTGCACGTTAATAAATGGAAGTATGAATAACTCCAACTACAGCTCTTTGAATGGAATGTCTTTGATAATGATCGATTGAATTTCGCTTGTTGATCTTTCTGGTCAGTACAAATTTTGGGTTGGCAAAAGAAACAAGCACTAGCATAATCTCGTTTTTAACTGTTTCTTGAATTAAAGGTTTATTGTGTGGGAAATTCCTTTCGTAAACTTTTCACCTTGATTAATTTTAACTTTAGCGGCACAAAATGAATCTGACTTTGCTAACAGTTTTCTTTATCGCAATTTCACTTTACACGGAATTGTATATTTCTCTTAATTTGTGGCACTATGTAGAGCGCGGCAAAATGTGTATGGAATTTGGTGAATAGCACTTTGTTTATACTAAATAATATAATATACTAAACGTATATGGTTTGATCTGACCAGGTCGACTCCTAAGACCAGAATCTGTTCACCTTCACTGCTCAAACCAGAATTTATTACTCGCTCTACGGCTCAAACGTAAATGAGTAATTGCGTGCAAAGCTCATCCTCTCTCTCTCTACTTCGTTAATTTTCATTGGTTCACCAACTTGATGTCATGAGATGAATAAAAGTATTATTATTATTAAGCTATCATGTAGCGAAGGTTCATGGTTGAGACACGTGATCGAGGAAATGAGTCCAGCAATTCGCCAAAAATGTATTTCAGTAGAGAATACTGAAAAAGTGATGTATGTAACTTTTTGGTACGATTAGCATTGGAATTCCTTAATTTTCCAATAAATATCATGATTACTATTTGACTACCAAGATTTCTAACGTTTTCCGACGATTTTCAATATGCTTTTGATAAAATAGGTCTCCTTAATATACCAAAGACCACTTGCTTTGATCACAACACTTTTTGCAGTAAGAAAATTTCCAAAAATATTTTCATGACTTCATTCCTTTGTAGCTTATTAACATTATTGGAGCATTGGAATTTAATCAAGAGGTGACAGTTGCAAGCAAAAGTCCTTTCACATCTGCATTATGGCATCAAGAAATAAGTGAATGGAATGAGCCATTGGTCAGAATGTAAGAGATGGGTGTTTATAATTGTTTAATGAACATCAGAACTTTGTAGTCCGTTTCAAAACACTTTTACCATTCCACCAAAATATGATAAAATCGTTAAGATGGGAATTACAAGATATCAGAGCATAACGCCCGAAGAAGATATTTCATTGCGACATGTTGAGTAAGTTATGTCCTATATATGCAGTCCTTAGTTCCAACGTTGTAGGCATTTATTACATCCCGGCTATGTGACACAACATAATTATAAGGATTTCTTTCATATTGCTCTGTGGGTTGATGAAAAGGGAGCAGAGTTAATGTTACAGCGATATAATATGGAAAATGTATACCCATGCCATTAAATCTGATAAAGTAATTAAATATGTAAAATTAAAGGTTAATATCACAGTTATACAGAAGACCTTATTGGAATTGGAAGTTCCCGGTTTGGCAGAGAAACGGCCTTCTCTCATTAGGGGGGATGTTGTTAATCTAAGATTGCATGGAGATCATATTGGTTATAAAGGAGTGATATCAAGAGTAAATAATTTGAGCATTTACATTCAAGGTGTAGACGAGTTGTACGTTTTCTTGCATTTGTGTGCTTTTAAATTTTATCTTGTTGCATTTCTTAGGCTTATAGAATATATTAGGAGTAATCCTGATGCAGAAATTGACGTTTCCTTTAAACTTGGTCGGCTTCCCTATGAAAGAATGCACAACGGTGTGGATCATTGCGTCAGTAGCGGTATGACCAACTACTTATTCCCTGATAACATTATATCAAATGTGGGTATTTTGGCTGGCCGACGTTTACCGGACACTGAGTAATAGATTTAATAGATGAAATCGGAAGTAAATGTCTATTTAACAGCGTATTTTCAGGTTTTTTAATCCTGCTATTAGGGGAAATCCAGAGCAAAGAAGTGCTGTTGAAAGTATTTTATTTAGAAGTAATTTTGCACCATATATAGTTTTTGGACCCCCTGGAACCGGAAAAACTATAACCATTGTGGAAGCTATTTTACAGGTAATTAAATGGTTGTAGTTCCTAAGCTGTAATTGGTAATTCAGATCAAAATCACTTCTATTGTCTCCTTCTCTTCCAACTTATATAATAACAAATTTATTGGGAACAGGAAATTTTGCTCTACTTAAATTCAATAAATTACCCTTTTTATAACATACCTAGGTAAAGTAATGTAGCACCTTTAAACTTAAAGCTAGTCAAGAAAATCCCAGGGGTGGTGATTTTAGTATGCGCTCCTGCAAATGCAGCTTGTGATATGTTGGCAAGTAAACTAATCCAATCAAAACGCTTAACCGAAAAGGAATTGATTCGCGTACACACGGATACCAGAGAATGGTAAGTGAAGTGTGTTCTTGTGTGCAACTTGCCCTCTTAATTATTTAGGGACACGGTACCGGAAGATGTCAAGGGCTATAGTAACTATGTGGACGGCGAATATATCAAACCAAGAGGATTCGAATTAATGAAGTACCGAGTCATTGTTACAACACTAATTTTAAGCGGAAGGTGATGAAATGTAATGCTTGCAGCGAACATTTTTTCATATAATTGTCTTAGGTACCAGAATGACCGTTTGAAACCAAATTATCTCTTTATTGATGAAGCTGCCCAAGCAATGGAACCCGAAGCAGGCGTTGCTATCGGACTGTTATCCGCAGGTAGTCAGTTGATTCTCGCAGGTGATCCTAAACAACTGGGCCCTATATGCACATCTAAAGTTGCTGAAAAATTGGGACTAAGTTTGTATTTAATTTAATAGGTTTATTTTATAACTTGAAAACGATTTCAGATATCTCCTTACTAGAAAGGCTAATGAAATTTCCATTATATGTTAGTAATAATGTCAATGTCATTACCACTCTTAAATTAAATTTCCGTGCCCACCCAGAAGTATTACAGATACCAAATGAATTATTCTATGAAAATCAACTAAAGGTATGTTCCTTTTCTTGCATTTATTTACATTTACAAGAATGTTTATTCCTCGGAGAAGCGTAAAACTTTTACTTGATGTGCAGAACAGTACAGTGAAATGCAATTCTTAGAATAAAGGACTAATAATTTATATTACTTCAACAACTTAAAACTACATTGCATAAATAAACACATTAATTTTAAATGTAGTGAGGAATTGTATTGCACATTGTACTTTTATTGTTCACCTGTAGGTGTTGGTGCATAAGAAAAATTTCCACTGTGTATGTTGTGGGTAGGCTTCCACTCATACAAGAGCATTTATTATAATCGCACTCAAATTCTAGCTACTATAACATACCGACATATATGTACATGTTTTTCCAAATTGCTTGCTTTTGATATTGTTCGGGGATAATTTGAGAACTAAAAGAGATAGAGTGATGCGGTTTGGACTTCTCGTAGATATTTTTCAAAGCTGCCTAGATTGACTTGCGCGAACGTGGCAAGAGCGCAAAAGTCCAAAAATACAATAAAAAGTTTTTGCTTTATAGCTTGTGGGAATATCATAAAATGGTCTCTTAGTAAGGTGCTAACCATAACCTGCTTGGTTTTTAAGATACAGCACCAAAGTTTGTTTTTTCAAATGTTTTTTCCACCAATAGATTTCTTATTTTTTCCTAGTTAGAAAAATACATAGTTATCAGTATGTTTGATTAGAAAAAAATTGAGATTGTTGAGACCTTTTAATTTTGTGAAAATTACAAACCCTAGTGCTACCTCGATGCTACTTATAATTTTATTGAATATTAACGTTTTCTAGTTATTTACTTTATTTTGTGATTGATTATTATAAAGCGTCATTTTGGAATGAAATCGTTTCAATATCACATCAGAATTACAAATGACAGATGAAATTTCAGCTTACTAACAATTTAAAATTGAAGCAAACAGAATTTAAAAAAATCTTTTGTGAGGCTCTTCCTTACTTGTGGATATTAAATTGGAATTATTTATATACTTTATTAGCTCCCACAACTTATACTACAAAACTGACTTGAATATTTTCCTGAAGAGAAAAGTTAATAAAGGGTTGAAAAATTAGCATTAGCAATGGTCACACTTTAGAAATAGTTATTTACATCAAATACAGGAAAATGATACATTACTGGCGAGTAAATATTAAAAAATAACATAGAATATGATGCATGTATATAAGTTAGATGTAGATTAATAGCGTTTTCGATTGGCAAAACTCGTACTGCACGAGTGTTGCACGAGAAACTGAAGAAATCCATGTGAAAATTGCTCTCAATGGAACATAAATATTCGTAAATATTTGCTGTCATTTGTCCATAACCTTATTTTAGATTTGTATTTATACAATGATTTAGGTAATCGACAAATCTGTATTCTAAAAAACGACTGAAACGATTTCACTATTATTTATGATAAACAATGAGGAATATAAATTTGAAATTCCTGTAAAGAACCAATTTTTGGCGTTCACTTTAAAGAGTAAATGCAACTTTTTGTAAAGTAGAAGTTATATGGCTAGTTCATCATCTTCGCTATCGCTAGATGACAACAAAAAACTCTCCAACGCAAGAAACAAATTCAAATTGGCGCACTTTTATTTTGAAAATTTGCTCCACGAGCTCTCCGACCTCGTGCGTCAAAATTTGCATTTAGTGCGTAATTGTTGCATCACATTTGCCAATGGAACACAGAAAATTGCCCTAAAATTACCAATAGAACGTAAAAATTGCACTCGTGCAGCACGAGTTTTGCCAATCGAAAACGCTATCAGATTCTATTCTAAGATATATACAGGGTTAGTCAATACATAACAAATTTTTTAAGTACAATGTATGTTTTAGGCTGTCTCACGTAACGCTTTATTAGACCCAATAGCAAGAATATGTGTTCATGACAAATTTATCCACAAAAAAGCAAAAAATCTTACTGAGCCTTCGTGCTTAGAATTTGTTGCAGTATTCGCAAAAGAAATGCGACAAGGTCGATCCCCTAGGTAAGGATTCATTAACATTAGTGACAGTAACTATTCAAAATGTTGCAGCTATTTCAATCCAAAGGAAGCCGAGATGGTAGTCAAATACGTATCAGCATTACTTAATCTTGAAGAGACAAAGGTGTTACAGAGCGAAATTGGCATTGTTACACCTTACATCAGACAGGTTTATCGAGTCAAAGAGCTATTGGCCAAAAACAATTATACAGATGTTGAAGTTGGTACCACTGAAGTATTTCAAGGACGCGAAAAACGCATTATAATCATCACCACAGTTCGTGCACAGTATGATTTGCTGCTATATGATCGCAAATACAAGCTAGGATTTGTGTCAAACGAAAAGGTATGCAAGACCTTTATAGAGTAATATTACTTATATTGTTTTTAGCGCTTTAATGTGGCTTTAACACGTGCTATGAGCAAATTGATTATCATAGGATGTCCAAATGTTTTGCAGTATGATGACAATTGGTTAAAATTTATTCAAGATTGCGAGGCAAAGCAATCATATTTTGGTTCAAGACGTGATGTACGGCATGACAATTTAAAACAAGATGTTATGAAAAGATTGAATAATGTTTATATGCGAGATCAACAGTATAAGAAGGTGCAATAATTATTACCAATTAATTGTTTGTGTAGATAGTGTTAATTTTTGTCCTTTGCTTTTGAAACTGCTTGTAAAGTTTTATGACTTGCGTACAGTGTTCAATTCGCACTCCATTCTTTGATAATCATATAATCACAGCTGTGCAGGCAGTTTGTTGTGCAATGTTGGCGAGGCTACATGATTATAAGACTTGAATAATGTGATAATGAAAATGTGGAAAAATTTTATATTTGTAGTGATATTTTTGTATTTGTTTGTTGAATTTTGTATTTTATAACAATTTTTTAATCAATAAATTTTTTGCACGTATTATTATGAAATCGAACTCTATTATTTTAATATGCATAAGTAATTGTTCAAATTAAAGCACAGTACAGTCTTGATAATCCGGCAGTTCGTTAGTGTGGCACGTTCGATAATCCAGCGTCTCCGGGACACCCGTCATTCCGTTCCCTATCTATTTGTCCACCATGTAACTTGTCTTTGGCTTACAAAACTGAAACAGTCAAATTTTGCTTCATTTTTCCTAGCTTAAAGGGTTGAAGATAGACGGTTCCCATTAGCACCTTCCATGGGCACTTTTTTTCAGAGAATATGGATCTGGTATCAGAATTTCCATAGCACGCTAGAAGCTACAGGCTACTATTCTTATGGGGGCCATATTGGATTTTTACGTAATGAGATGGAAGACAAAAAATAATAATGACATGCCACACTATACTTTTATATAAATTTACAAGACAAATTAAAAAAAAAAGCTTTTACATTTGGTTCTCAACAAAATATCCACGGGTAACTAGATCTTGCTGAATCAATAATATGATGGTGGTGCATTCAAATGAATTTCTTTTTTTGTCATCAATCTCATTCCGTAAAAATCCAATGTGGCACCCATAAGAAGTAAGTAAGTAGTCAAGTAACCTGTATATTCTACATCTAGAGTGCTATCGAAATTCTGATAACGCGGAGTCAGATTCTCTAAAAAAAAGTGTCCATAGTAGGTTGAAAGTTAGTTCTATGGAGTAAATATCAATACCACGTGATTTTAGATTGCTTTGTGAAAATAGGTTGGGGCTTGGTGGATATCGCATACATACACATCTCTGGAAACCCTGTTGTTTAAGATAAGGCTCTTATGTGTCGTCAGATTCGTAGTTGATCCTCAGTCAGCGACCTAAAAATCATGATCGCAAAGTAGCCGAAAGAAAGCGCCTAGAGATTTAGGTTTTTCCCAATGTCTACTTTTAAATGACAAAATATCTTCTAAAGGGCACCTAAATGCAAACAAAATAACTTCTTAAAACACAGAGATTTGGCTGTCATATTAATTAATTTGAATATTGTTGGTTTGGCCGTATTTTTATTGTCGCTTGTGTGCGAAGTATTCAACTGAAGAAAAAGTTGATATTGTCAATTGATACAGTTCCGGTAACAGTTTAAGAAGCGTAGGTTTGTTTTCTGTGAAGTCAAAGCAACAATATTCAAATTAGAAATTAATGAATATGACACCCAGATCTTATTTCTTTTAATTTTGGTTGCATAAAATTACGCGCCCTTCAGACCAGAAGGATTTTGTCATTTAAAAGTAGACATAGGCAGACAATACACGTAAATCGCTGTTTACTAAAATGAAGAGTATAAAATTTGCAGCTCTAGTATGCAAAATGCATTCCTGATGTGGTGGTGGAACTTTAAGGTTGCATGCTTCGATTTGTAGGTTATGTCTATGTTTATTTAAAATTGGTTATGTGAAAAAATGATTTAAACTATTGCATGTACAATTTCTAAACCATGAGTTTAGGGAGTAAGATATTCATTCCTAATCGTTGCTTAGGATATGTAAGCAACCACATACCATTGCAAGTGCGTTACATAAAGAATCGGAAAGAAAACTTGATTGTTACATGTGTTGGGAAGTCTTTTCATACCTATGGAGTATCCCATTTCGGATTATTAAGTGTAAGTGGGTTACATCCTTCAGATATAACATGTATGTCGTCGGATGCCTATCATATCTACACTGCTTGCGGTACAACTATTTACGCATGGAGACGTGGAACAGAATTAAAACACACTTATAATAAACACAGTTGTGCAGTACACATTTTGTTACCATTTGCCGCACATTTAATTTCAATCGATGTAGAAAATAAACTTTACATCTGGGATATTAAAGAAGAAACCATTTTTCTCGAACTTCAGTTTTCTGTTGATGACTTTCAAATAACCACGATACTCCATCCAAGCACGTACATAAATAAAGTCTTATTGGGATCTGAACAAGGAAGCCTGCAGTTATGGAACATTAATACTGCAAAATTAATTTATTCATTTAAAGGATGGAATTCACCCGTAACATGCTTGGAGCAAGCACCCGCACTCGATGTTGTAGCTGTCGGTTTACAGAATGGTAAAATAATGTTGCACAACTTAAAGTATGACGAGACAATTATGGATTTCACTCAGGATTGGGGCACGGTAACATCAATATCCTTCAGGACAGATAATCATCCTATAATGGCCACTGGCAGTGTAACTGGACATATAGTCTTTTGGAATTTAGAGGAAAGACGAGTGGCTTCACAATTATTAAACGCTCATGGAAATGCTGTTGCGGGTATGATATGTTTACCAAATGAACCTTTGGTGGTAACCTCTTCGTGTGATAATACGTTAAAGTTGTGGATTTTTGACATGACAGATGGGGGAGCACGGTTGCTACGTATTCGTGAGGGTGAGTTTTAGAACATCAATTATGGATTTATTGCATGCCGTATTTGTAGGTCATTCTGCACCCCCGTCCTTTATAAGATTTCACGGATCAAATGGTCATAATATTTTAAGCGCAGCATCGGATTCTACCTTACGAATATTCAACACACAAACAGAGCAGTTTAATAAAAGTTTAGGGAAGGCTTCGTACAATCGTAAAGCAAGTAAAAAGCGTGGACGTGGTAACTATGATCCTTTAATAATGCCTCCCATTACACAATTTACATCGGAAGTAACAAGAGAAAAGGAATGGGATAATATTGCCGCAATTCATTCTGGTTTTACTCCTCAACTGTGTAAATGAAATCACCTAATTTTATATTTTTAGGTTTATCAATTATAACCAGCTGGTCATATGATAAATTGAAAATGGGGGATTTAAAGCTGCAACCAGAACGATTGCATAAAAAAAAGAATCTATCCAAATCTTCTGTATCGGCTACTAGCATATGTTTGACACATTGTGGGAATTTTGTCCTTGTGGGCTACACTGATGGTTTTATTGATAGGTGAGTAGCGTAGACAGTTAAATAAATTGTACCAAATGCTCAATTTTAGGTTTAACATTCAATCAGGTTTGTGGCGTGATAGTTATGGCACTCCTAATGCCCACGAGGGATGTGTCCGAGGAATTACCACTGATAGTCTTAACCAGATTACGATATCTGGTGGTAGCGATGCCAAAATACAATTCTGGAAGTTTAAAAATAAAGGTAATTATTTCATTTACATTGATGGAATCCTTGTGGTTGTTGAAAATGTTTTAAATTATACTTTATACTTTGTTACAGGATCTATGGCGGTGTCTGTCTTATCACTTTCTGAACCAGTATCTTTCTTTAGAACCCATCAAGAAAGCTCAATGCTAGCTGTTGCATTAGAAGATTTTACAGTACTCATCGTCGACACTGATACCAGAGCCATCGTGCGACAATTTGACGGGCATACTGCACAAGTTACAGATGCCACTTTCAGCATCGATTCCAGATGGCTAATTACAGCTGCAATCGATTGTACTGTGCGAGTGTGGGATGTACCATCGTCTCAACTGGTAGATCAATTTAAAACGGAATCTGCTTGTACATCTCTTAGTATGTCGCCTACAGGAGAAGCATTAGCAACTACTCATGTCAATTACTTGGGAATATTCTTATGGTCTAATCGTACACTATATTCAAAAGTAAGCTTAAAAGCCCTATCACCTACAGATGAACCGGCTCTTATTTCGCTACCTGAAGTTTCAACATTCACTGAAGTGCTTAAAGCTGAGGAAGTGGACAGTGATGAATTTATTTCGCCTGAACAAATAAGTTTAGAACTCGTCACCATTTCGGGTCTGTCTTCGTCACGCTGGTTGAATCTTTTGGATATAAACATCATCAAGAAAAAGAACAAACCAATTGCACCACCTACCGCTCCTAAAGCGGCACCGTTTTTCCTTCCAACAGTGGCATCTCTCGAATTCAAATTTGATTTAACACATCAGAACGACAATGCAGCGAGTAAATTTTTGGTACCTGAAAGTCTATTAAGCTTATCACCGTTTGGTAAGATTTTGAATACCACAGCAACGACAGATGACTTCAACCCCGTTATTGAGAAGCTAAAAACAATGGGGCCTTCGCTGATCGAGTTAGAAATAAAATCTTTGCATCCACAGGATGGTGGATCGATTACTGTTATGCTCCAATTTTTGAAACTAATCGAGTTTATGTTAAAATCAAATCAGAACTTTGAACTAGCTCATGCATATTTAGGCGTTTTTTTGAAGGAACATGCCAGATTTATAGCCTCTGAAGAGATTCTGAGGGAGTATTTAAAAAATGTTAAAATATGTCTAAGTTCCACATGGAATCGGATACAAAAGAAACTTTTTTATAATCTTTGTGTTGTAGAAAATTTGAAAACGATGTGATGTAATAAACGCAATATTGTTAAATTTTATTAACCCTGACTTCATAGCCGCTCAAATATACAGGGTGTTATATAGGGTGGTAGATGAATCAAAACAAGCACTTTTTCCAAATACATGCATACCTGTGTACACACAACAAATTTCGTGGAATTCTCACCATTTTAGTTGTCAAGCCAAGAATTGCAGTGGAATTTTTTTTCTGAATTTTCAAAAACTAATTTCAGATTTGTGATTTTGATAATCAAAAACCCCCAGATACAAAAAAATCAGAATTTTTTGTACCTCGATTTAGGGTGGGCTCTCATGGTAGGAATTTTGAAAAAAATTTTGTATCGGGAAGGGCATACCCCAAAACCTATACAAAGACATGCCACCAGTCTTCGTAACTCAGAATTTGACTATTCCTTTAGAGAAGTTTATAGAATACGAACTTGAAGGGGCAAATGGAATTTGTGAACCAACTTCAGAAGAAAACTTGGGCAAAGCTTAAGGAAAACAGAGAGATTCTTTAAGGAAATTGAGATAAACCTGAAGAAAACATAAGAACTTTAATAACTAGAACAGAATTTGTTAACAACTTTGGGAATGTTTAAGAGGGATTTAGGATGCTTAAAAACAAAATTAAGTGGAAGTTAAAGTTATTTTTTAAAGGATTTGTCAGGTAATTGGGGATTATCCCCTATTAAATCACATTGAAAACTTTGAAAGTGACCCTATGGTGGGTACAGTAAGTAATTATAGGCACGCACCTATACAGGCTGTTACAAGTATGTAAAGGTAGAGGGGAACAAAACAAGCACTTGTTCCAAATAAACAGAGGGTCTAATGTGTTTCGTTTGGGAGCCACCCCCACAAAAGTGGTAAAATTTGATTTCTTAGCAACTGTAAAAATTAGAAAGACTGGTGACATGTCTTTGAATAGTTTATTACTAGCAGCACAGTGTGTTTAAGGTGAACAATCGATGACAATTTCGGACACCACCATATTAAGGGGGCTTATTCTGGATCTTCTGTTAGTCAATTCTCAAAACATGGTGAGCGTTCACACACTGGAAAATTTACGACTGCGCCACTGACGTATCCCTTATCACAGTCAAACTGTTCAATTTTCATTACTAAAGCCGAGAGGAGAGAACATGGTACAAACAAAACATTCAGTTATCATTGCTCAAGGCAATGTTTGGTAAACAATTGAACTCTTTATAGCTGCCATATTATAATTAATATCAGCTCTCTTTAAAATACCTCAACTGAATTAATTAAATGAATGGATATTTTGAAATAAAAACCATTATTAGTGTTGGGACATTTAACACTAACTGCTTGCATCAATCAATCAAATCAAACAAAAGCAAGTTTTTTTGGAACAAAAACCAACATATTAAATAAAAAAAGTCCTAACTAAAATAAATAAAATCTATATATGCGCAAGAAACAGGAACACAGTCCTAAAAATTAAAGTTTGGTTAATTTAAATGTATGTATATTTTCATTTGCATTAACAAAAAAAAACTTAACAATGGCGATGGGTTTGTTTAATATCTAAAACGTCGAAGAGGAAACTATAGAGCACGGCCCGATTTGAGCACTATAATGTATGTATTAATGTAATTGTCCTGTGATCAAGGTTTCTGGCTATTTCTTTTGGTTCGTGGTGTCGCCACTAGCACTAAAGGTATATATAAGTTTGGTTTCGAATCGCGTTATTTTTGCCAAGATTGATATATGAAAAACCAGGACAGTACAGCTAATTCCGGTACAATCCCGCTCATGTGGCAAATCTGATTGTGGACTCTACAATATAACAAAATGTGTACGTACTATTGTTTAAAATGATATGTAATAGAAAGACCATAAATCGATTAAGTTTGTTATGTAATTACATAATTTTTATTTAAAAATTAATAGTAACATATCTGAAATTTCTTAAGCTTAAATTGTTTTAATTTATGGTGTTGACACTCCTATACAATTTGTAATTGTAGTATGTTCTTACCATGGATTACACAAAACAAGGATTGGCTGAAATTACAGAAATGTGATCATTAACAACATAATACATAAATGAAAAAGTGGCTACTAATAAATACACATTATTTTAATTTATAACAATAAATGGTTTGCATCATCTATTTAAGCCGAATGTAAATATTTATAGTAACAACTTGTGGTTACATGTGAAAATTTACAAACCTACGATGTACCATAAAAGATTTATACAATCTTAACCTGCCAATTTAGTACAATGATCAACATTTTTTGAAATCGAATAAAATGTACAGTTTAAAAAAGAAACGGAAAAGTTCAATAATATTAATGGAAAATAAGCATATAATTTATCTAATGATACATTTCAATCACAAGTTTATAAATTTTTAATACGAAAAACAACACAATGAATAAATGGCCTAGTAACATAAAATACCCAGTGACAAATATCTGTTATAAAAAAAATAAAACATAAGAATCTACATCAGCATATAAATGTGCAGTAAAACAGCTGAATTCACTGCTAAGTCACTAGCTTATGTATAGAACATCCATGATTAAATGAACTAAACAATATACAGTAATTTGTGTTGTAGGCATAATCACTATTTAATGCTGTTGATGATTTCTAAAATTGATATATATATTTTTAATTATCACTGCCAGTAAAAAAAAACTTACGCAAAACTATCTTAAATTGGTTTTCTCAAGATGTTACTGACAGCACTGCTTACGTACACTATCTGTGTTCATGGTAGGTTTCACATCAATTGGCTCAACGTTCTGCGGTCGAATGGTATCACCTTCCGGAGGATCTCTAATTTGTTTTTGTGACACAATTCGATAGATTTCTATAAGTTGAATTGTGAACTAAATTTGACGTCCAATGCGTTTGTCTTACCTGTGAGTATATTTTGAAAAGCAGTGTCAACATTAGTCGAATCGAGCGCCGAAGTTTCAATAAATGACAAACCGTTTCTCTCTGCAAATCCTTTCGCTTCGTCTGTAAGAACAGCGCGCAAATGCCTAAGATCTGATTTGTTACCAACCAACATTATAACTATGTTTTGGTCTGCATGGTCACGCAATTCACGTAACCAACGCTCTACATTTTCGTAAGTTAAGTGTTTAGCTATATCGTACACTAACAATGCTCCCACAGCACCTCTATAATACGCTGCTGTTATAGCACGATATCGTTCCTGACCAGCAGTATCCCATATTTGCGCTTTAATTGTTTTACCATCCACCTAAGAATGCAAAGTATAATAATTAGTGATGCAATAAAAAACAAAATTGACATGGAAAAATATGCAAAATATTTAAGATGTCTGTCTCACTATGCAATAATGATGAGAGGTGTTTCACTTTTGTATGTACAAAAAACGCCGCAGTCGATCTAGAAATCCTTCTGTTGCTGCATATTGATATTTCCATTGCACAAACCTTTTGCTTGCACAACTGTCTTTACCAATAAAACACCAAGATCAATTTAAAAATCATAATGTTGTTACTTTTGTAATACAATTTTTAAATGAAGAATAGTACCTATATTAAAGCATAAGTTGCAGAAGGCGCTATATTCTAGCACGAGTTCAAGTTTCGAACCTGAGCCGCGTAGAGGCGAAGGTTCGAATGAACGAGTGCTAGAAAGGCCTTCTGCAACATATACTTTATACTATTTTCTCTGTTGAGCATTTTAATTGTATTAAAAAAATTAACAATTCTGACATTTTCTGTAATAAATATTTCAATAAAGAAATTAAGTTGGCAACACCAACAATTTTTCAATAATGAAATTAAGTTGGCTACGCTACATTTTGAAAAAAATTCAATTTAACAAGCGCGTCAAATACGAATTTGTGCAGTATATTTTAGTTTTTTCAATAAAAAGTGAATAATGTGCGAAGAAATTCTTCCTTCCACTCCTCCAGAGCTTCGACAGTTAGCAGAAGAGACTGTTCATAATTTGCTACCAGGCAATAATTTCACAATTATTCTAAAAGTTTATAATAATTGTACATTTAGTGACAAAGATTAGTTTTGTAATTTTGTTAGGTTATAAACCCTCATTTGTATTAAATGTGGATTTCTCTAAGTACCTACACTGAATTTTCAATACCTAATGATTTCAATTACCCGTATCGTTAATAATGTTATAACAATAAGTGAAATTAGTCCACATTTTACTAAACCGTTGAGATAAGTATTAACGTCTAAATCATCCAGGCAGAACTTTGAATTGAACATTCGCGTATATGATCAGCCTGGATGATTTAGACGAGCATGCCAACCACTGAATACTAAATGTTCTTAAAAATCTGTCAGTTGTGGAAAATAGTTACCAAAAATAGTGTTGGAATGAAACTCATTCCAGCACTATTTTTGATATCGGAATACTGTCATTATAAACGCAAAACAGAGAAAAGATTTTACATTAATTACCAATAGTAAGGTTAGGCAGAGTTTTACATCTAAAAACACTTTAAGCGATTACATACCTTATAATATCGTAAATCCAAGCCATATGCGTCTTTAAAAATCGAGTTTATATAAAACGTAAAATAAAGCAAATACAAGAAACAAAGTGTAAAGTAGTAACGTGAAGCCGTGACAATTAACAGGTGACACTGTCAATACGATAGTCAGTATAATTAATAATAATTATAGCACGGAGTGTACCGCATCGTTTTGGAGGCTTTCTATTGGCCAGTTTGGAATTTAGCTCCAATATGGTGACCAGAACCAACGACCAATCAAAAATGAGATACCCTGGTATTGTGCATGCAGGTGGCTGTAGCGCAATATTGCAGCTATTTGACTAATATGAAATTAGTTTTTGAAAATTCAAAACAAAAATTTCACTGCAATTCTTGACCGGCATTAGGCACGTGCAAACGGCGATAGCAACTCCAAGGGTGAATGATCAGGTGAAAGGGCAAAATTCAATACAAATACCTTAAATCTCCAGGGTGGCATCTCTCTGTGGACCACGCTATTTTGCAGTAACTTAAAATTACTGAAAACACTTGCAACTACAAAGTAATTCTCAGAATCGCTCTGCATTTTGAGACAGGTATAGCCAAGGGACTGTGATTACAGCAATACTTGTAGGTACATTTTTTCAAGAGTGAAACACCCCTAGGTTAACCAACAATGGAGACTTTGTTTAGAGCTTAAATAAATTAGTTGAAGTTTCCCCTCCACACATACCTATCTGCCACCTCCATGAATGAATCACTCACAACAGCAAATTAAAAATCGGTCATTACTAAATACACAATAAATGAATATTCAGTAGGTCTTAGTCAGTGATGATCAGTAAGATTTATGTAAAATTGACTTTTTGACATGACCTTAATTATTGATCACACATTAAAAAAGCAAAAATGAATGATTATGACAAATGACACATTTTACAAAAATTCATTATCGAGTCCTATAAATATAAAATAAATAAATATGATTACACTCACCTGTATGCTACGTGTGGCAAATTCTACACCTATCGTTGACTTCGATTCCAAATTAAATTCATTTCTAGTAAATCTGGCCAATAAATTACTTTTACCAACACCAGAATCCCCGATTAAAACAACTAAAAAAATTAAATTAATTCAGTCACCTAGAACTTGTAGTCCTCTAAAGGTGCAAAGTACACAATTCAGTTTAATTGCAACGAACACACATTTCACTAGTGATATCAAAAAGAACGAAGGAAATCAGGTGAACCACAAACCACATTAAGAGCGTAGACATCCCGCATTAAGAAAGTGAAGAATTTATATAACAAAGGGCATTTTAATGCAATATTAACCTAAAATTATGTCCCTTATTCCTATGGAAACATTGAGACAACAAAACTGTTTAATGGGTCACTGTTAGTTGGACACAAATAGAATGTTAATTATACTGGTATATTATCACAACATAATTAAAATAAGTCAATAACTTAAATGGAGACACTAATAAGAATGAATACGGTTGGGGTTTAATATCCCTTGATTATATTACAATTTGACCCTTGACTTGAATCTTCACAAATGATTAAAATACTCTATTTGTGACGGCATACGTCAAATTAGTCATTTATAATTTTTACAGGTAAATTCACGCGTAAAAGGTCTGAAAACATTCCACTCGCACTTATGTGTACAACAAAGTACTTACCCTTAAATAAATAATCATATTCGTCATCCCTTGTATTCATTTTATTTTTTTTTCAGATATGCAATCCTCCCTAATACGTAGGTATAACGTTCAACTAAAATAACACAAAACAGCAACTATTGCATTTATCACTGATCAATATTCACAATGCCACGTAAATAATTTTATCACAGACGCATTTCTAATAATGGTACAATCTTCCTATTCGCGATTGTGGAAATAATTTTGGTATAATTTATAAATACTAATAAACAGAGAACAAAATGGAGCCTCGTATTGTTTGGTTTCCTCCTTTTGTACACGCCCCTTCTTGTTGACTGTCACAATATTTAATGGCGCCTGCGCATTTGTCATAAACTGACGTTTAATGTCAATTGAAGCCAGGTTTACACTATCACACGAACATCGTTTCATTTAAACCACACTAACATACGACCCGAAGTTGGATTACTTCTGGCAATGACTCATAGATGGCATGAACACCGTATAAGATTAGTGTCGTTGGAAAAACGAATATGTACTTTTTTGCGATCCTTTGTAAATAATTCCAAATCCTGAACTAAAGTTCGGTTAATAAATTAGATTCATATAGCATTAGTCGGTTGGCGGATTAAAATCTGAAATTGTGTTCCCTATTTTTGACACGCCACACTATAATGTACACAAAAATTTAGATTTACCCGCTACTTTAAAATTAATCCTATTCGAAATTAATTTTAGAATTGAATAGTTTCGAACGTGTAATCAATTGAAATCATGTTTACACAAGTTGAATGGACGTCCACTTACAATAAGGAGTTCATTAAACATTTTCGCCCCTAAAAGTTCTTTTAATTCATAAAATAGTTATAATTTTAAAAAATATCTTATCTTGAACACTTTGTTCCCAGAAACCCATTTATTCCGACTTGGAATATAACTTCTCAATTTAGCCTCACAAAGTTCGACCGATACCTACATTAATTTAAACTCCACAATGATCTTTAATCTCAGAGGTTCTCACTATCATAAACTCTCACTTGAACTTTAGCTCACAAATTCTAACTGTCTAATTTTGACCTCTATGCAACTATCTATAGAGTTCGAATTTCTAACTATCCAGAAATTCCAAAGATTGGGATTTTCGATTTTACCACGGAAAATAATTTTATTTCTGTAATTCTGATTTAATTTCGAGAATTCAGATTTGAATCGGTAATTTAAAGCTTTATCGCAGTAATTCCGACTTTAGCAGTAACCTTGGAAATTCTGACTTAAAATCAATATTTCCAATTCTATTTCACAAATTGCTAATAACGCCTTAATGTGGAAGCCCAACAATTCACAGAAGTAGAAATTTCGGACTTCACCTCAGAAATTTCAACTTTAGCCAGGAAATTCCTGTCTGAACTATAAGGAGTTGTAGGTGTTCAGCAAAGCCGTGGACTCCACAAATATATGGTGTGGAAAAAACAGGTGCTTACACAAACTCACTTTCGACAAATCGAGCAACCACACATAATCCACTAAGACAAATTCTGAGTGGTCAAGTGAAAGAGTGCTTCTTCTGTGTCCATATTGTCCCGTGATTAGCGCAACAGTTAATGTAATTTGTTTTAATCGTTATTTTCTGTTTGTCTGCGAGTTCACAAAACATTCGGGTTCAGATTCGACCAATGATATCGATAAACAAGGAATTGATAGAAAAATAATAAAATAACGAAAAAGTTATGTATTGACAGAGTTTTATAGTACAAAGCAGTTCACTGCTGGTTAAGTTGAAAATACCTTTTGTTACCTCATCTAGAGCTATTTTAATGTATTCAATTTTTTGTGATCATGTAGCCTAAAAGTTTGGGCATAACTTATTGGATTACTCCATTTTGTTTTTTTTTAATAACAGTCTTAAAATCACACAACAATTTTAACATAAATAAGACTAACATAAATAAATACATATAACCATAGCTTTTTACCTTTTTCATAATTTTTCATAATTCGTTGTTAAACACATTTAGGTATCTTATTTATATTATTTACAAAATAGTTTACAATAAATTTCGGTATATGGCAAAATTTATATATTACTTTACATATTATACAAATTTAATTTTAAATAAATTTTACAATAATTTATTGATGAATTACAGATTGATCCACAAAGTACATGTTTCGGCCTTACGATTAATGAATAATGTTAACATTAGAGATTGTCTTTATGGATAATCGGTAAATATCACATTTATTATGTATTAACAAGTAGCACCATTATTTCAAATTATAGATTAAGATGAAGTAAAAATCTTTATTTCTTGCCATGATTGTACTATCATAACTTTCTGTAAACTTGGAAATCATGGTTTAATGCATTATTTGACAGAGTATAAAAAAGTGCACTACTGTAGGGTATATACCTGAACTAATTTTGATTGATCCAATATAATCATCAATGATCAAATGCCAACATTTGTTAACATGCAATTTATAAAACTCAAACATGTGCAAAAATACACAAAGTGTCAACAAAATTGTATATAGGTAAACATCGAATAAAGTTAAAGAAGAAAATTAAATGATAGTTTTGGCTCAGGTGGTGCCCTACATTGTGCAAGTTGTATGTCAACAGATAGTATCTGAAATATTGCGTTAATGAAGTAAATAAACAAACCAATACTAACACCAACTGTTGAAGAATAACACAATTTAGACATTTCTTTACTTTGGTTTTATTTTTTACTAATACGATAATGAAAATGATCACACCGCTAAACTATTTAGTGGATTACGTATTTCTAAAATCATCAATCTATAACATTTTTCTAATTATAAGGCACATTGTATTTGGTAATGCATAACATTCTAAACCATCTGATCAAAGTAGAGAATATAAGATAATACCAACTGTAAAAAAATTATAACACTAATCTTCATTAATAAAGAAATGATTACAGATGAGAAGAGATGTGAAAATGAGGGGATGATACTGGCTAATATTGCCAATAGATGTGATGAATCCATTATTAAAATAGCAAAAAATGTGTTAATATCAAGCATATCACAGATGCTTCGCAAATAAAAACTAATCTTAGGCAGTGATTGATTTACAGCTGTAAATAGATAATATCCAAAAATTCTTTTTAAATAAACAAAAATGTACTTCACGAGTAACTGAGTGATGCTGATGATTTTAGAAATAACTTTTATAATCATTCTGCTTAATCGTAATATACAACAGAAGCAAACAAAAGCATCTCTTTGCGAATTTACGCCTTACAAGCGTTCTGGGCATGCAAACTCGTATGTCATTGGCAAGAGCATAAACATTACTGATCACAAGGGTTTCACCCCATAAAAATTGATACAACTCAAACATAAACAGGACCTTGATTTTCATTATTGTCGTCTAGATTAATTTTATTAAATGCGGGGCCGCCACCGTCGTCAAAAAATCTTCTAAATGTGAATTCAAAGAACCCGTGAAACGGTTTAGAATTGTCCAAGAATTCGTCCGACGTGCTGGAATCTATCGAGTTTGAATTTCTTAATTTATCCGGATCGACCGGATCAAAGTTTGAAGTGTCCGTTGGATATTCTATTTTAGGAATATGGGGCGCCGATTGACGCCGTAAACCCTTTTCAAAGTCTATACCGTAAAAAAATGGATGAGCTTTCACTTCACTAGCATTTTTACCTAACCGTTTATCCGCACTTGTACACAATTTTAATATCAAGTCTGTACTTTCTTTAGAAAGATTCGCCTGCTTTGGTATGTGTAACGTCGTTTCCCAGTTGATAACCTGTAAGTATAAGTAACTATCAATGTAATTTATGTAAATTATCAATTTTCAATTTGAACTATTTAACACAGTTTCGCGTCATTATCATTTTGGTAAGATTAATGGCCAGTATTATAAAGCATACCTACTTAACTAATGTTGTCAGCTAACAATGTTGTTAACAATGATGTTATTCTGTATATGTTTTAAAAACATCCAATCACATGCCTTAACAACATAGTTAAGTCGTATAATACAGGCCGTAAGAGCGTGGAATTTTAAGTTCAGTTAAATCTGTATATTATCATCATATATTACAATTTTTGGTAAAAAAAATTAATTAAATTCTAGCCAATCAGCATTACAATACCTAATACTATAATTACTAGAGACCAGATTTCATGCTTTTATGCATTACGTAAACATTGTATGCAGCTCAAAATAAAACAATAATCACATTGGCGCAAACAAAATAATGCATATTTTGCATTTTTGGGGTTTTTGTGCATATTTAAGATAGGTTAGCATTTTATTAACTTTTTAAACCATTTTTATTACAAAACAAGTTGGTGGTAGTAATTGCAACAATTATATTTTTATTTATAAATTATAAAGATAAACAAATAATAAATCAAATAAAATAAAAATTATGAAAGACATAGACAAAAGAAAACAATAAAAATAGAAAAAAATAAAAAGAAAAAACAAAAAGAAAAAAAAAGGAATAAAAAAATTTAAAAAAATATGGCGCCTAAGTCAAATTATAAAACATCAGTGGTGTTCAATTCAGCATTAATTTAAAATGCAACCAAATTTCAAGTTCAACAAATTTGAGATGACGAATGTTGGCTGAAGAAAATGTTGAACCTCATCTGATACCTCAACTAAAGTATGCTCCAATTACTCCTGTCGATGCGGAAAGATGTTTCTCTGTCTATAACTACGTACTAAGTAACAAATTTTAAGATGGACCACTTAGAACAATACTTATTCATTAATTGTTTTGATACAGCTTATATGTTTAAATAGTTTGCATTATTTAATTTTTCATGCATATCTTCCATGCTTTTTTTGCCATATTTTTTGTGCATATGCATGTGCATTTTTGATGGTCCCTAATAATGACTATCTAATGCAATTACCATTGATAAAACTAATTTAATTTACCTTGTATTGTGTCTCCGCTGGTGTATTCGCAAGAAAAGGAGGACTTCCCACCAACATCTCGTACAGTATAACACCAACACTCCACCAATCACACAACTGAGTATACCCTGTTCTCTGTAGTACTTCAGGGGCAATGTAGTTTGGAGTACCCACAAGCGAATGCGCCAGACAGCGCTGATGTTCTTGCCTCCGCCTTCGTTCTAGAGGTTTCATACTTTTACATCGACACTCCTCATTATTCCAATCTTCGACGGGTTCCATTGAGTCTTGCCGATTGTGTTCTAAATTTAAATAATGATAACTCAGCAGGTAAGTTACATGTTACACTTTTTGCACAATTTTCAATGGCATTTAATCGTATTTTTGTTCAGAAGTGTTTTTTGTGTTATTCTGCACATTTGACTATGTGAGAACGATGCTATTAGGTACTCTATGCTGGTCTTTTTCGGATTCAACATTCGTTCCAGTGTTTAACACTACATGAGAATAGGTTGATTGTAAGACTAAACTAATAAAGAATACCACAGAATGGAGAAGCGAGTGTCTGGATATTTTATAATATTCTTAATGTTTAATTGTTGTATACAACACTATGTCATGATGACGTTATTTTGGCTTTAGCACTAGCAGTAATAATTTGACCCCCTGTATGTGGTATAATTGCAATTTTTGGTTTACTTTATTTGAATTTGTGTCTCAGTGTTTGTTTTTCCTTTTAGAAATGTTTGTAAATGCGTAATTCTTGCTTAAATTTTATCGATTTGTCATTTAGATAAGGTACTAATGCGAGATAAAATGGGAATCTGACAAAACCAAAGCGCCAATTCCGAAATATAATGACAGTATTAGGTGAGGCGGCGCAGGTGCCGAATCCAAAGTATCGTCTCCGAAATATAATGACAGTGCAATGTAGTAGTGGTATCACAGCCGTTTCTGACATGTGATGACAGTGCTATGTTTCAGTTTTCGTAAAGTTATATCATTGAATTTATAACTATCAGAAGCGCGGGTTAAATGGCAGGATATGTGACTGTTTTCAATAGTTTAAATTACAAGACGTAGATGTCTCTACCATCGAGAAAGATGAATAATAATGTCAGTTTTTTACCTTTGTTAATTATTATACAGGAATCTGTAATGAACCCACTATCTCGATTTGTAATTGTTGTATACAGAATTCTAGATACCCAAGAAACGTACTTATAAGGCATTTATGTGGCACACAGGATGTTGAATGACGTAAGATAAACATTCTTCCTTTCATGAATCGTGACTTACTTAACATTCCTTAAGGAAGATTGAATTACATTTGAACAGGAAAGCAAAAAATACGCAGGCATCCTTGATCACTGTAACAGAAATTAAATGTACCTACCTTAACCTATCTATTCTTAATGTTTGTGTGTGTCGGTTAAACCGTTGCCACCAGTTAAACTACCTAGGACAGGGGTCGGCAACCTATTGAAACGGAAGAGCCAAAAATTACAATTTACAAAATTTCCCAGTTCTTAAAGAGCCACAAATAATTTTTTCTCCAACCACCTGAATAAGACGCTATTTTGTGCCAGTGTTCGGTACGTAAAATTGACGTTTTGCGGATTAATCGCTTTCACCATGGCAACTGTACAAAAAGTGGATACTTTTGGTCCTAGTACCAAAAAGAAATTGACCTTGAAAGTCGGCCAATTAAAAAATTACAATCACGGAGATATGTCACATTGACATCGTTTTACATTGCAGGTTGTAAGATATTTCTATACATACAAATCAAATATTTTTGCATATTCAATACAAATAATGATTTCTATGCGTATGTACATGTATTGAAAATGATTTACGCTCGCTATTTTTATTTAAACCATGTGTAACGTAATTTACATATTCGGTGAACGTAATTTTAATACGTATACAACCCGCCGTCGCGCGTAACGCCATCTACTTCAGACCCATTGCACTATATCTGTCATTTTGAATTCAAAATTTGAAAAAGTTAATTGCAATTAATTTTAATTAAAAAACTGTATGGTAAGTTTTTTATTTCAATACAAAATATAACAATATTAATTGTGTATACAATAAAATGACCGAAACTGATAGCGACATGGATTACACTCCGCCAGAGATTATAGAAACGGCAGAACATGCTACCTCAAGATTTGCTCCCTACAAAGTCGCGAGAGGTGAGAAGTAAGAAGTAAGAACGAATAGGTTATAATATAAGTTAACCTGAAAACTAGAGTGGCATGACACGTGAGAACAAGAAAGCAGAAGTTCTTATACTAGTAGTGAAACTGTGACTGAATCTAAATTTGAAGTAAAGGAGTTGGAGAAAAAATTTTATGTTTTATTCGTACAAAAAATGAGTTTTCGGGACTCGGAAGGTTGCTGGACTCCGCTAACGCGTCGTCCAGCAACTATCTTCCTCGTCCCGAAAACTGACATTTTTTGTACTAATGAAACAAATAACTATATGATTCAATATTATAGTTTTTGGTTATATACAGGGCCTGCAACAGTCCGTCGGTTTTTCCTACATAGCTGATAGATACCTGGTAAAAATATTGGTGGTTGCGGATCTACAGAAATTATTTTTGAATGTACAGGGTGTTCCATTTTTACGATGTCAATGAATAACTGATCTTTTTAAATAGAACATCCTGAATATTTGGTTGTTTCAATGCCGTTTGTTCAAAGTGCTATAACCTCAGAGTAAGACATAAAGACTTACTCTGAGGCTATAACTATTCTTTTTCAAATGGAACTACCACTATTTTATTTCGCTATTCGCTTTTGTCTTCTATTAAATGTTTATAAGGGGTGCCCTGTGCTTAAACTCCGCAGTGTTTAGGTTATTCAATATTTTTCACAAAAGTACCTACTCATTAATTAATTACGTGTTTATACATCGGACTAGGCTGGCTATAACAAAAAAAACAAAAGAATACCAGAAAGTAAACAAGTGTCAAAAATTAGATAATTATTTGCTGCAAGTATACTTTTGATACAAAATAAGATTAATTAAAAAGGGGAATTTCGAACAAATGAACTAATTTCTTTAGATAAATACGGAGAGCCGCAACTTTATAGGTATCAAAAGAGCCGCAGGTTGCCGACCCCTGATCTAGGATCACACATCACACCTGGCAATTTTGATACAAAATAAAAAGGTCGTTAACCTCTTTTCTTTTAAATTCTGACGTTTGAAATTTGTTCTCAATGGTTAATCGATAACTTATCGATTAATAGATAGTCAATCGATAAATTTAAAAAAAAATGGTCGACCGGTCAACAAAAAAAGAATTTTTTCGCATGGGATTTACACAATATATATTCTGACTATAATAAGCAAAAATAAATAAAAAGTGCGATTAAGACATCGAAAATATTTGCTTTTACAAAAGTTACAGCGATTTGATTGAAAGCTTTCAGGGGCGAAAATTAAAGCTGGAATCTTTGTTTTCCCTAAAAAAAAAAAGAAAAATGGAGGGTGATATTTTTCCGCGGTTACTTAGCAAAGAGGAAAAAAATCCGGGAACAGTTTTAAGGCAATAGTCCATGGTTTCCCGTTCAGTGTTTCCTGGGAAACCATAGAGCTGAAAATTATGACGAGCTGACAGGATTTGGTTTTGTATCATGGGGTATAGAATGTCTCTAAAGAATAAAGATGCACAGGTTACATTCTCATTTAGATCAATTTAAGGATAATATGGGAGCTTATTCGGAATAAGGACAACACTTTCTCGAGACAATGGAACTTAGGCACCTTCCCAAGGCCAGGAAGTTGGAAGCATGATGGAAGATCAGATTCAGTTGAACATGACAAAAACAGCAAAACTGTTCCATTTTTAAACATTTAGACTCTAAGATAAACAAATTATAAATGTAGAAACGTTACCATTTAATAAATCATGCCTATGTAAGTAGGATTCTATATAGGTATTTTTATTTTTTGGTTTTTTGCATTTTTTTCACACAAAAACAAATACATCACCATTTTTTGTTCTAATTCTTATTTGTGGCTATAGAAGCAATAAAAATAAGGTATATATGTCCCATGCGCAAAAATGCTGTAGACCGGTGTAATTTATCGAAAATGTTAAAGGATTGGTCGATAAACCTATAATTACCAATAATCTATCGATTAATCTCACAACTAAACTATTAAGATAGATAATTATCGAGAGAATTTTTAACGACATAAACTTTTCAATGTTTAGGTATACCAGTTTACTTCCAACAAAAGCGATGTAAGAGCATTGTTGAGTTGCCATATGATCACAATTCACAACCTACTGCTGTACTCTTTTTTGAGGATTATCGTCCACTTGATCACCTTTGATTTCAGAAAACTTGAGCATCAAAAGATCCTGTTTTATTTAAATTATCTCTCGCAATACCAATACCAAAAAAACAAAAGTGTTAGCAAGTGTACGCATGGATGATGTAATATATCGATTGAGAATATATATCGATGAGATTTATGAAAAAGTATCGATAGTTTTCTCTTGATAATTTCCGCTACTTATCTATTAATCGATAAATATCAGAGATAGACAATTTTCGTGGCAATAATAATCGATTATTATCAGCAGCTAACAATTATTATTAATTATTTTCAAAAGTTATCGATAATTATAAAAAGTTATCGATAATTATCAAACCTTATCGATCATTATCGAATGTTAGTGTTACGATTTATCGATAATTGTCGATTATTATCGAAAGTTATCGATAAGTGTTTAAAGTTATCGATAATTATCGATAGTTATCAATTAACGATTAATCGATAATTATCAGACTGAACAGACTTATCGATAAATCGATAACAATTTCATTTATCGCTCAGCTGTAGTAGGTATACGAATTCACGTAAACTGGAACCGATTTATTTGTGCACAATGCTGCATGGTTATAAAAAAAGCTGTTTCGCGAAATTTAGTTATCAAATGTGAATGTGGAAATGATGTAGCTGCCAACTGCCAACAATTCCACTACTGGACTGTTCTAAGGTTCATTTAAATTTGGGTAAATTTCGCCAACTTTTTTTATACCCTGGCAGCATTGTGCACACAGCAAATAAAATTAACACATCGGTTCCAGTTCACGTGAATTCGTATTCTGCCAACGCGGCGGCAAATGTGTTGGTACGTTTTTTCTCTTCTCGCTGACCGTTGGTTTTCAAAATTCAAATGCTTGCAACGGACAATATTTTGCCTTCAAATTTTTTTTGATCGTTTTTTAATAACAAAATCTCCCGCTTTCAGTAAAAATGTGGAACCTGCCTATTGTACTGCCTGTGAATAGAATGTATGAAATTGCATTCCTTCAAGGACAAGGACTGCAAGCTTCGTTCGTCTAAATGTATTATTATTTACATTACAAATTTACGCAATGCTTCTTAAGGGATCTATTTTTAGAACATTCCAATCCTATTTATAAAACCATTCCAATGATAACACAAAAAACATCCCGAGTTCCTGACATCTAACGATTAAAAAGGAAAATATTCGAATGGTCAAAATAAATGGTTTGTAATGCTGCCATCTAATGTCAATGTAACGCTCCACTTTCGATCGCCCACGGACTTTCAAACGATCGAACTGCCCCTAGCGGCGGCCAGTTGGCACATGGTCACAAACTGTTATATGGGATCCGCGCTTCTGATAGTTATAAATTCAATGGTTATATGAATAAGTACTAACTTAACATTTGCTGATGGGTGTTGCATGTATTGAATCGCCGCTTTTCAATTTTAAAATGCAGTTTTTCCACCTACATGACCATGATTACGTAAAAAGAATGCTTCAAAACATTGGCCCTTATTTATTTTCACTTTTTGGAATGTTTATTCTTTCTTTTTGCCGTGATGTATTATAAGCCCATGTTCGATTTGCATGGCATTACTCAAAATGTGACGTATCCGAAATTTTACTCCCATGCAAAACATATAGTACACACCGAGCGATAAGAAGTAGTCACTTGAAAAATGCTGTTGATGAGAAAATGGAATCCTACCTAACTAACGAGCTAACTAATCTAAAAAATTAAAAATAAGTTTTTGAAGTAATTAATGTGTACCATTCCGCAGTACTCTATGAGTCTATGGTATTCTTTTAGTAATCAATCTTCTTTTCAGTTTTCAACACTACAATGCCAAAGGGAAAAGAATATAATGGGCATTAATGTCTTGATATTCTTTGATATTTCCTAGTTTTTTTGATATAGTATGATACATCCACACCCATATTCAGTCCTATGAAGTACCATTTACGTTATAAATAAACCATACTAGGAAATATCAAAGATCCTCAGTATTGCCATCACTTTTTTAACGACCATTTATTTTAACCTTGCAAAATACATATAGTCAACAAAAATGCATCAAATTCATGTGTTGGGATATGCTCTTAGTCTTTTTCCCAACAATCTTGGTGCATGAATAACGATTTTGACATGTTTTGATCAAAATACATGTGGCCCCAGAAAAAGAATTTAACATCTTTGAATCACACAGATGCAGTTATCAATTCGGCATGTGATGTACTCTTTTGGCATCAAGATAATGCGTGTAAAGCGCATGAAAGCTTTTACACTCCAAATTCATGTGTAAAGAATAATTTTGGGTACATTTTGCTCTAAAACGTTTGATCCGATATATCATAAGACTGATTGTCCCCCTGTTAAAACAATACTAATAACCATAGTATGCCACCCACCGTTTGGTTGATAGTATTTAGAGTTGTGAGTCCACCTAAACCCTGTGCACAATCCAAAATCCGTCAGTTTGATATGGCCATCTTTGTCAATAAGGATATTGTCAGGTTTTATGTCTCGATGAATGAAACCCATTTTATGGACGCTTTCAACCGCACATGTTAATTCAGCAATGTAAAATCTGAAAGGAACATTGCTATTACTACAATATAAGAGAGTAAAATAAGCTCACCTCGATAATGGTTCTTCAAAAACACCTAACTTGATTAGTAACGACATAAGATCTCCGCCCGGTATATAATCCATAACGAAATACAGCACGTCACAATCTTGAAATGAATAATACAACTTAACAACCCACTCATTGTCCGCTTCAGCTAAAATATCCCTCTCAGCCTTGACGTGCGCCACCTGATTACGTTTTAAAACATCCGCCTTTCGCAATGTTTTCATTGCATATAAATGATTAGTATCGATTTTACGTACAAGCGTAACTTCGCCGAACGCGCCCACGCCGATAGGTTTAATTTTCGTAAACATACTCTTATCCATTTTCGCCCTTTTCAGTCTTATATAATTAGATTCCTTTTGCGACAGCATCTTTCTCATTTGACATTGAGCATCGGGACTAAGGCCGATTTTTGTCATTTCATTTTCTAACTGCATGCGACGAAATACACGCTGTCGATATGCTTTTATAACATTCTCGATATGCTGCTCCATGAAAAATTTGAAAGCCTGTGGGGAGTAATTTTTCACTTTACCGTCTCTTCTTTCTTCTTCCTTTTCTTTGCTTATTTTCTTTCTTTCTGGTATAGGCGACTGATGTTTTATTTTTCTGTAAGGTGGAAGTTTAGGTGGATGTTCTTCCTTGTGGTCTTCGTTTCCATTCATTAATTTATAGTTGCGGTTTTTTGAGTTTACAGACGAGGATGCTGCAAATAAGATTTCTTTGTTATAAAAATCTATTTTTTATATAATTTATGTTTAAGGTAGTAAATGAAATTGACCCTTTTAGGATTAAGTCTGTCACTCTAAAGGTTTAGAATTGTACAGGGTACAAATTCATGGCTCACCATTGGGATCTCCGCAAAGTTGCTCGTTCGTGAGTTTTCGTTTTCCCTAACTTAAACGGTTGGAAACTGACGATTCCCGTTAGCACCAATTATGAGCACTTTTTTTTCGGAGAATCTGAATCTGTTATCAGAATTTCCATACACGCTAGATAAAGACGCTATGTTGGAATTTTACGAAATGAGATAAAAGACAAAAAAAAAGAAAAATAATGACGTATCAAACACTATTCTTTTACAAAAATTTACAAGAAAAAAATCAAAATCAAATGTTTTACATACATTTCTTAACAAAACATCCACGGGTAACTAGATCCAATATGGCGCCCATAAGAAATAAGAAGCGTGTAAGTTATAGATCTAGCGTGTTATGGAAATTCTGAAAACAGATTTAGATTCTCCAAAAAAGTGCCCCTATAAGGTTACTAACAGGAACCGTCTATGCCTCAGATTAATTGTTAATCTGAGGTTTAAGCCAGGGAAAATGAAATGAAATTTGACATTTTCAATTTTTTTGTGATCTAGGTTAATTTCAAAAAATTTTCAAAAATTTCAAACGCGTTTTTTGAGTCACCAAAATAAGCAACTTTGGCTCCAATCAGATGAATAATTTTATTAATTTTAGCTGATGGTAAAAAAGGAAAGGGGGTAAAAAAGGGAGCGAATCAGGCTAGACATTTTCCAGATTACGAGAACAAGAAATTTGTTTGCCATCGCCCCGGATTAAACTTAATTCTGTGCCTGAGCATGTTTCATGCACTTAAGTGGGCCACACGGTTGCTGTTCTTAAAAATAAAAATTTGAGGAAATTCAAAAATCTCCAAAATTAACTTTGCACGTATGTGCGTAGTAGCTAACCATACTCTATCACTTATATTAATATGAAATCAGCAAATTACTTACATGTTGGTGGTAATGGAGGTGCACAAGAATCAGGTGCAGAATGTGCAGGCGAAGGTCTTCCTTCACTTGACGAAGCCGAATGCGGGCTATCCGAATGGGAGGCAGTACTATCGGACGTAATGGCAGGCGAATATTTCCTTTGTAATGGCGAATGTATCTGTGCGGATCCCCTTGCACTCAACGATTCCATTGGAGAAACTTGAGCAATACCGTCGTCCGAATATGGTGGAGGTGGTACAGGTGGATGTGTAATTACACGTTGCACGGCTTTTGCTTTAGCTTGCATGGTACTCGCGTAACTTGGAGGTTCAGTAGTTGGAACTGGTATAATACTATTCGATATTGAGGAGGATGACACCGAGTTGGGTTGTAGAGGGGAAGCCGGTTTGGATAGGTGGACTTGTTGTTGTTTCTGTTGAATTGAGACAGAATATGACGGCGGAGGTACGGTTGTAGCCGGAGGTGTAGTACTTGTCGGTGATGCCGGTATTTGAGGTGAGGTGGGAGCGACTGCAGTTTGCAAAACAGGTTTCTGAACTTGGGTACTTTTAACGGACTGCATGATGATGGGTGGTTGTGTTTTGGCTTGCCGCGCCACCCAGGCTTGCAAAGGAGCGGGTCTTGCCAATGCTGTTGGAGTGGTAGTACACACAGGAATTGGACTAGGAGATCCAGTGGATGTACCCCCGGAATAAATGCCAGAAGACGGACTTTTCCTAAAATCCTGAGTGGGACTTTGTCTATTTTGTATGGAAGCCGAATAAGATGGAGGAGGTGGTGCACCTGATAACGACTGTGGTATTAAAGGGTATGGAGGAGGCGGTTCTGCAGTGGACGATGAGCTGCTCTGGTATAAGTTGAGTGCTTGCATTTGATGTGTCAGCTGTTGTTGAACTTGAGGACCATTCTGCACAACCATTGGCTGTCGTCCCGCTGAAGATGAGACACTGCTCACGGGACTAGTGCCACGTTGTTGGGATGCAGGTGAACTATAACCAGGCACACCTGGTACAGACGGAGGAGGTCTGGCAGGTAAAGCTGGCGCAGGTGACATTCTTTTAAACAGTTGCTGAACATTACTGGGAACTGGCTGATATGATACATGTGATGGTGGTGGAGTATTTCTAGGAGGTGGAGGTGGCGGAGGTTCACTAAAATTACTAGGAGAGTATTGTCGACTAACAGGTGCGTGAAGTTCGGCTAATCGTGGACTATCAGACCGCGAACTTCCTGCCCCACTATCTAAAGCTGGGCTGCCTCGATGTAAGCCCAGTTCTCTTTCTATACTTGGCTTCCGAATTAATTTTGTAAAACTGTTTTTACTACTAGGGTCTAGTTGCTGTTTGACTAGAAAGTCAATCGCTCCATCCAATCTAAAACCAGAGTTTTGAAGAGCTCGAAAAGAAGATTCCTATAAAAAATAACCACGTGAAAATCACATTAATGTTGTAAGTACTATACCTCTGTATAACCCATATTAAGTAATTGAGTTAACATTTGTCTCAATTGATGTAGATCTTTATCAGTGCCATTACTACCAGAAGCAGAACTAAGAGAACTAACACCACTGGTAGTAGATAATGTCGATATAGTGCTGGCAGCACTGGAACCCATAACCTCACTGCTGCTTTTGGCAAATGGGAGCAGAGAGTTATGTATTTCTTCCATTGCCTTTTGGTGATAGCCCGACGAACGGGCAGGTGTTGTGGGATTCATGATGACTTTTGGCCGAGGCTGTTGGCCCATACTGGGCCTCACTATACCTGTATCACTTCACATGTCTCCCACATAGTTGAAGGCATTTACAAATTATTTCCAACATCGTAAAAGAGTAGAAAAAGTATTTTTTCACAGCCCCCTGTATACCCTCAAAATCCAAATATATTCATTTTCAGAAATCTGGAAAGAATAAATAATTAACATTGCCACTGTATGTAAAAATTAAATTTTAAGTTTGACAATGTGCAATAGTATACAATGCCTCAGGCGAAATATAAGGTATGTGCCAAATTACTATCTCACTCACACAACATTCCAAACATGCATTCTTTGGCAGTAACATGTACCTAATCAGTTACTTGCAGGGAGAAACTTCCCACAAAAGTGGAAAGTGTATTTATAGATCTTCTACAATTATTAACTCATAACTCATCAAAGATACCCAAAATTATTGACAATTGAATAAATATTAGATGTCATACCTCCATCTCGTTCTATTAGGAATTTAACAACACTACACTCATTTTTTTTACTAACCTTTTGTATCTAGCCATTTAAATTAAATTCTCATTAAGGCACTCGAACTCTTATTCTTTATTAAATTAATATAAACTAATCAACACAATAATGCACTGAAAACTTAAACGAAAACAAAGAAAATTTTGTACAGTTCAGAAATCGGCCATCTTACATAGTGTCAAATTCCAGATTATACCAACATGAAGACTTTAAAAAAGTTGGTATTTTCCAATTTATGGCAATGCTTTGAATAAAAATAAGTCAATTTATTTGTATGTAGCTCCAGAACCATCCCATCTTTGGTCTGCTTTAGCGATTTGATAAAGTTTTATGAAAATTATTGAGCATTTTTGCACGTTTTTATATTGGTACTTCTGACATTAATTCTTGTTATAAATAGTAAATTCCAAACCATTGGCGTGCCAAAAAGAAATTATCGGGGAGCATTTTTCAGATGTACCCATCCAGTAATTGCTAAACTTATTTTTTCTCTTAATTCGATTTCTTTTTCATTTAGCAGTAGGTGGTATTGTTTATAACCTACACACGATTAGGTATTATTATTATTATTAGCATTTACCAAAATCCCAGTGCTATATGGACAAACAAAAAGTTGTATTAGCTACTTTCCCATGGTATAATAAAAATACTTTCCCCATTTGGAGAAATGCGCAAAGAATAGGATCAGAAGTTATTCGCTGCTAATGACAGCTTATTGTAACAATTAGCTTTTTGGTTTTTAGTAATCTTTTGAATTTATTTCATGTAAAATAAACTCAACGCCCATCGACTGATTCGCTCCCAGACAGGCTCTCCCTCGCCTCGCTAGTATTTGCATTGTATTATATTCAGAATGTAAGTATGTAAACAAAATATGTTGCGTAGTGAATAAATGAAAACCAAAATAAGCATTTTTTCCATCATAACGCGGGTCCGGACGTGAAGTTTTGACTCCACCATCAGTAAGATATTTGTCGAGGGCTACCACATTCGTCAGTAGCCACTCCGATGTCCCGTACACCGGCAATACGCATTTTTGTGGATTTCACTAAAAACTCGGGGCGAAGTTGACTACCTCATGAAGACGCGCGCCTTGCGAATCGCCCCTAGGACAAAAACAAAATTCCGTCACGGAGTAGTTGTGCGCGTTTACAAGATCTTCCGACGACACCAATTTGAAATCAAACCAGAACTGTAGAAAACTGAAAAATCACAATGTTAGTAAACCCACCCTAGTGCATGGCGTTCAGATGTTGTTAATTCCACGGCCCCGGTAGGTACACGTATACACTCATCGTCGTTCTACAAGCGTTCTTCTACGGACCCTCATTTGTTGCCAGCCTGCCAGCCAACTGGCCAAAGTGAGATTAAAAGCTACATTTTTACAAATAAATTTGCAAAACTGCCCTAAGGCTGGAGCAGATGGTCCACTTTCATCCTGTTTTTATTATGCGGATCCTTTGATTTTTCCAGCATATCATTTGGCAATAATAAATAATCATACAATTATGCGAGCAAGTTAACTGTTTAAAATTAAATTATGTTTTGCATAGACGGAATATCTGCCCAGAGTATTTGTCATCTTTCCATTAAGCACCCATTAAAGAAAATACTGTCAAGTTCCACAATAAATGCTTCAATTACATGAGTGTATATGATTGTAACCGTATAAATGTTTCCTGATGGGGCCTTTATTGTTGACGATAAGATACGTCAATTATGATCCAGAAAAGAGGGCTTGTACAAAAAAGCGCGTAAGTGACTAAGTGTAAATGACAGACGACGTGTCCCCTGATGCTCTTTTAACATTCAGTATAAATTGTAACGTTTCTGAATCTGAATTGTAATCATATTCATTTAATAAGCAGCGTCTTCAAAAGCCCCACACATCACGAGTCAGCAATGGATTTACAAAAATTTGCGTAACGCCAATGGATGGAATTTTCATAACCAAAGATAAAATTGCCCCCCCCCCCTTGGTTTAAAGTAATCAATCATTCAAAAAGAAATACAAAAGCACGAAGTTATAAATGGGTAAAGTGCTTTCGGTAATGTTTAGACCTTTGAGGGATTATAATTTAGAAAGCCGGGCCCATAAAGTGATTTCCAAAGAGAAACCAATACCAGCACCTAAACACCACAGCGATTTGAAATATACCGAGTTTCTAAAAGGTAGGCACCACTATCGAGCTGCTTTACCTTATTCTTTTATTCGCAGAGTATCCCGATGTGGATCAATCAAAAAATGAAGCACTAAATAAGTTTTTACAAGACGTATATGTTACATCAAGGGACCCGACGGTGAAAAACTTCCGTAATGGTTCTTACACCCAATTACCTTTTTTATTATGTAGCCCCATGCACCACTTGACAGTTCCAGTGCGAAGAGACCGCTTCCATTACATCGTGGGATTGTTGATGATGCTGAATTTGGATTTCGTGAGCCAGATAGTGTTCCTTATGGTCGTGCCACCTTGAAGTCGGCATTAAAGTTTATTTCGGCACATCAAACCAATCCCAAAGAAAATTCAATTAAAAAAATAGCGGAGGAATATAAATTACACGAAGATACCTTAGGTACGTTGAGTTATATAACAAAAAAGGTGATGAAAGTTTTTATTTCACTTTCAGTTAATATTCTTAAATACTATCGCGTGTTTGAAGTTTATATTCCGAGTAATAAAGCATCAAAGGTCAGTTTTGCAGGTCCATTAGTGCCTAGAAAGCAGATAGTCGCACACGAACAAAAAAAATTGACAGATGGTAAAGATTAAGACAAAAAGAGACAATTAGTGTAAATATTATTCAATAAAGATAAAAAGTTGCTTAGTTCTAAATTCTGTCCCATCGCCAAATTGTGCCATCATCACATACACATAGGAGAACTGAACCATCTCGACTTAAACTTGTTTGCCTAATAGCGGTTGTGCAGCGAGGATGATGTAAGGTATAGCAGCGAGCTTGATTTGGATCTGGTACATCTAAATCCCAGACATACACTTTGCCCGTTTGATTACCAAGTGCTAATATCTAAAAAATGGTGTTTTAGAAGTTTTAAATAAATTCAATGCTACCTTTTGCCAGTAATCCATTGCAAAGCGTATAAACCAGATTTCACACTCTTTATATTCGAAACGATGTAAAACCGTAGAGGTTGTTTCGCCCATTCGCAAAGTTTTATCCTGCAATCTTCCTGGTTTCCAACATACAATACAATTTTCACAAGACTTGCTCAGAATAAAATCACCAAACCATTTAACGCAGTCTACATAGTTTCTAAGGATAAGTTTTATTAGTTGTATGTAAAATAATGTCGCCTTACCTGTGAATATCTCTGGTAGAAAAATCGGGAAAGTGCTCTTTTACAGAATCAAATGGTCGGGCAGTTCGGTTTGCCTGCCAGGTATAAGATTGTTTAATAGCTTCAGTCATACTTTTTTTGTCAATTCGCCAAAGTTTTAAGGAATGATCCATACCACATGACATAATTCGATTGCCCAGTAAATCAAAATCCTGCAGAAATTAGTGCTATCATCTGTCCAATAATAAGGGTTTGCAAAATATGATTGGTAAATTGGAACACACAATTACAATGTGGTTGGTATCTGTGCTAGCCATAGCAAACTTTTTAATTATTCTTCTGATAAATATTCTATTTACTTCAAAATTCATTTCCAATGGTCTTATACTTACTTACACGCGGATTTTATATAATTGCTGTTAAAATATTGAATTCATTTTTTTTCGTTTAAGACAGATTTCAGTCTTTTCTGCTTTTGAGGAAAACAAACATTCCCTGTTTCTATAAATTTTCCAACTTGGGCGTTCTCGGTCAGGATATTATCTTACTCTATATACTCTAGTCTAGACTCTCCAAGAATAAAAATCATATCGATCATTTTTGAGAAAAATTACTCATTGTCCCTAATTTATTTTAATAACTTAATTACATACTTATTTCAAGTTTTAAAAAAATTTGAATTTGTTATTTTCATTTTAAGTTCAAAGAGCCCAAGATACAAAATTTTGGGAAAATCAAAATTTTTGTAAACCTCATTTGACATCATCTGGTGCCAATTCAGAAAGACTTCTGGGGATATAGCTCCCAAAGAAAACATTAGAGACCTCTGGTTTATTTGGAAAAGATGTTTGTTATTTATTTGTAAAATAAAAATACTCACTGCACTTAAAACTTCGTCTCGATGTCCCTCAACTCCTCCAAAAATGGCTATACACACATCCACCTTTATATTCCACAAACGCAGCGCATGATCTTTCGATACCGACAGCAATAAATTTGGGTCTCTCGGATGAAATTTAAGTTCATTAATAGCATGACCGTGCCCAATGTAGTGTCGTATTGAACACATTGTTGCAGGATTTAAAATTCGGATAATACCCCTAGAACCAGCAACTGCTAAAAGTGGTTTTCCTGATTCCTCATCGAACGACCATGCACATGTATAGTAGTTTTCATCAAGCTGTAAGTAACGTAGATGAAAATTGAAAGTTCATTTGAGACATACATCTGGGTCAGCATAGCACTGCACCAATTTTATACCATGTCCTTCCGGACATTCATACACGCTAACACGATTACTACCAACAGCTGCAAATATTTGTGGTTGGCCCTCTTTCAGGTTATGATTAAATTGTGTACCAAATAAAGGTTGACCATGATCTTCCTTAATGCTACATCTTAAAAGTGAGAAATGAGGTAAAGCGAATAAGGTACGGTGTGTGCCCTTACGTATATTTGTAAATTGGCTTCACGTACTTTAAGCTTAACGATTTCTTTTTAGCACGTTTTCTTTTACGAACTCTATTTGTTGGAGTGGCACTTCTGGAGGTATTATCAGTGGTGGATGTACTGCCAATGCTGGAAGTTTCCTCCTAGAGCAGCAAAAAAGGGTAAGTTAATGTGTTGTAGCTATATAATAATACTTACACCATCATCACCAGACTCCTCTGTTAAGTTTGAATCATTATTTGTTTGTGTTTTTAGATTCTTTTCTTTCATGCTTGTAGCAGCTTCAGCCACTGTTACTAGATTGTGGCTAGAAATTGTGTAAGGGACAAACAAAAATTTAAAAGGAGTTGTTTATTTGTTTAAAAAAACGAAAATTAAGCAGTGTTGCCAAAAAACCCCAATGAAAAATTCTGTACAGTGGCGCACTCCGGTCTCGTAACAATATAATATTTATTAATATATAATTATTATTTATTGATTTCTTTATTAGCCCTCTCCTGTTCTGGGCCCTCAACAGGCTTGCGCCCAATTACAGAGTGACACGAATAATGCTTTTTAGAGGGCGGAAGAGGAGGAAGATCAGATCAGATCAGGACGTTGTGCGTGAGTGCACCATCCTGTTGAACCCACCAGAGTTTCCAACATTTGTTTTTTTTGTGTAGTACATTGTTGTATTCGTAATACCAGGTAATACCGTAGAGCGTAGACCACATAACAAAATCCTACTCAATGCATAGTACGTAGATACTTTTTTTTACAGTCTATATAAAAAATAAAGTTAATGACGATTTCTCCGAAACGGACCGTTGTATTGAAAATCTCTCAAGGCTATCTTGTAGAGCTCAAAAAGTGGCAATGACAAAGTGTCTTTATTTTTCAAATAACATCAGAACCATTAAAAACAAAACCGGCAAATTTCAGTTCTTCTGGCATATCTTCGGAAAGTATAGGTAATTGAAATTTTCTGGATTTCTTTTATAGCATCAGAATTACTCTTTAATTGCGCAACTTTTCCTTAATTTGACCATCTTCGTATCGTCTATGCCCTAAGGTTTCAGAGATCTCCATGATAGACATCCTTATTAGTCCTATCAAAATAGACATTCACTCTTGCATAAATTCCCAAGAAGCTGAAATTTTACATGAATGTAATTATAATGAAATTACGGTTACGGTTAGTTTTATGATAAAAATACCTCAGACAAAAATTGTAGACCATTCAATATAATTACTTACATGCACATTTTTTCCTTACACAATTTCCCCTAAGATTCAGCGTTTTTGAGAAAAAGCGATTCCAAAATTTACTATTATATTCAATATTGTATTCTCCATATCATAGTACTTATGACCACGTAATTGCCTATGTAGTACATTCTTAAAACGCATAATGTAAGTAAAACTATTATAGCCTGCGTGACTAATACATTAATATTCAATGATACATGCATCGCAAATATATTCCAATTCGAGTTTATCGGCTTATCCTAAATCATTGAATAAAAAATTAAGTTTTATTCAAGGCCTGAATGTAAAATTAACATTTTATTCATGACTGGCTGCGTTACAACCTCTGCAATGTGACGGACAGCCTTAAATTATTTAAAAAATAATAATAAAAACACTTTCATGAAACACTTTTTAACAGAGGTGACAATTCCGATCTCGACGAAATTCTTCGGAAATCTGGAGATGAAAATAACGAAGCCAAACCAGTTTTTGGAAAACTCTATTTCTAAGGCTATTTGATATTGTCATAAATATTTATCAGATTTTGTAATTTTAATTTGATATTCAATAAAATCCAATTGATGCGCTCCAATATATCGTTGCCATTGACTAACAATTAAGGTGATCACCCGCCAAGGTTGGTATATTACTAACCTTGATCACCCGCCACTGAACGTATTCCAAGTAAAAATTGGCAACCCTGTGCATATACACGTGCGAAAACGTCATAAATGTCATCTGTTTTATCTATTTTAACTTAACCTTCAATTCAATACATTACACCTTTGCTTCTTCCTGTTACATTTACATTTACATTTTGTGAAAATTTCTTCGTGATATTTTATATCTATTGCAGAAATGGCTTCGCTAGGCAAAAAGATGATCGACCAATTGAAAAGTAGGGAGTTTAGGAGCTATCTTATGAGGTAAAAATGTTAAATAAGTCTTTTAAATTATGTAACCATACTTTACAGTACACATTTTTGGGGACCAGTTGCAAATTGGGGCATTCCTCTAGCCGCTTTAGCTGACATTAAGAAAGATCCGAAGTATATAAGTGGTAAAATGACATTCGGTGAGTCCACTTTAAGGTTTATGTAAAGATAAAAACTGCCTTTTTCAGCATTGTGCCTGTATTCTGCAATATTTATGAGATTTGCGTGGAAAGTTCAACCACGAAATTTACTTTTATTTGCTTGCCATTTCACTAATGAGGCAGCTCAACTAACTCAGTTTGGAAGGTTCATTAACTACAGTTATGGTTCAGAAAAGAGTTAATGTTTGTTTTATTTGAAATTTTTAAATGATGTGCCTTAGTGTAGCATACTCAATCACTCAATAGGAGTTTTATAACGTTCAACTGGTGATAATTACATACTTCGATCATGCAGTAAATTTGAATTCATATGTATGCCGAAAATGGGTTTGGTTACGGCATAGCTTCATGATTTTTTTTTATTGCTTTATCATTTACTACTGGATTGTTTTTATTGGTTTCTAGTACATACAGCTTATCAAGCATTAAAAAAAATTGTGCAATGATGCAAGTTTATTGCTATAGCTGTAATAGAAATTATCTAAACAATTAAGCAAGTAATGTATATACTTAATGATACTGCAGTTTTATTGCAGAACTCCAAATGTTGCCAAATGTCATTATAATTGCTCATGTTTAACATACCATTTAAACCAAACTTTTTATCGAACGTTCGACTACACAGGGTGTAATAAGACATATATCAAACTACTTACTCGAAATATAGGTATATTATGATGATATTGAGCCAGGGGCGGGTATATATACGTAAAAAAGTCACCGTAATATGTACTAATTATGTGATACATGTAAATCATTTCTACGTACGCTACAAGTAACCCGGAAATACTCATATTAGTAGTCTTATAATTTAGATTTAGATATATAATCATTTTTTTGTTTATTATCCTGTTATGTTAATGAGTCTTTTAATCTTGAACACAAATAAAATCCTTGAATATGTACAGGTACAGCTGTTAATACAACTAGTGGTTAATTAATTTTGTATTGAGATTGAAAGACTAAGATGCCTTAAGTATGTTTTATTAGTGAAATTTGTTGGTTTGGGTGTTATATATTTATATTTGGTTTTAAAATAAAGATATACAAGTTTCGATTATTAATTTGATTTAAACTAGTTTGTGAGAATAAGATGTTGGCCTTCAAAAAATCGAAAACCTTCCATTAAAAGCAAGACTTGGTTGATAATAACAATAAGTTATCATGCTTCTCAATAGCAAAACTACATGCAAAGAATAAGAAAGCTAATTTTGAACACCTAATAGCATGTGTACACATACCTAAACTACATTTTTTCAGGATGAACATTATGAGATGAGGATGAAGGATCGGAATGCAACAAGAGAGGTTGCTATAAGTCTAAATGCTACCTTATATACTACTAAATCTAACAGGAATTCCAATAGGTGCGTGACTTTTGTTATGGAGTTGTGCTTTTGGTGTAATAATTGAGATAAAGCAATTCTTTTGTACTTGTGTTTGGGACCTGAATTCCAAAATGGCTGTACCATGCCGATTTGTTTACATTTCTACATTCTGTACGCTTTGTTTTTGTTATCATGTAGTCATCAATATCGAGTGTACGAAGTCGGGGGGAGACAATCTAGTACTTTATAAGATTGATAAACACGCATAAGTTAGATGACAATAGTTAGAAATGTCATTTCATGTTAACGTCAAACTATAATTAAAAAAATATAAACGCCAAAGTATGAATCGCTGGAAGAAAATTGCCTGTGGATATGTCATTATTTTCTCTTCAATTTATGTAATCACCATACTAACATTGCTCCATGTAAGACGCATATTACATCACGCCTTTTAACTTTTGAATAAAATTACCTCTTACACCTATCTGGTTTGCGTTACCATAGGAACAGAAACAAAGTTTGAAGTTTACCCAAATTTTGGAAGTGATTCAAATTGAAAAGCTGATAAATTATTATTTGAAGATAAATTCCAAGAAAATGGTGATACTCTGTAAGTTATTTCATGTATCTTACTACTTGTGGTTTAAAAACTAATTCACCTTAACCCTCCCGGCTCGTTGTTATGAAAAATCACGTACTCACCGGAGTGCCAGCTTAAATTTTGTCTGTTAACAACCCTTAACAAGGGGCAGGGGCTTTATTTCTTTTCTGTTTACATTTTATTAACGAGCGACGTAGGTTCATGATTTTGGACTTTCTGTCCGTCCGTCCATCTGTGTAGGTACATATGATAACTTGCTGTTCTCTTAATTGTGTACATTATGGTATCTCCCGAACAGTTTTGAATTGTCCAATTCTGTTTTCAGTAATAGGCGGACGATGATCAAGGGACTAACTGATTCAATTTTGGTCATTTGGACTTTCTGTCCGTCCGTCTGTGTACATGATAAATCGAGAACGGTTTTGAATTTTTCAATTCTGTTTTCAGTAATAGGTCTACAATGGCCAAGTGACTGATACTATCACCATCAAAATTAACCATGTTCTCACCGAGTCGTTCTCGCATAGGTGCTTTTCTGTAAAATATTTTCTGACCATAATAAGCTAAAACTTAGCAGCGTCCACCGTGCGAAAAACTCAAAATCCAACTCACAGGCGATCATAAACCTAAGCACCCTTATGCAACTCTCGACATGCAGTGACTGAATCCTTACCTGGAAGGACAAAATGCCATTAAAGTCGCGAAAAAATTATTTCTGGAGTTACTGAGTTACCCCGCTCCGGTACGGAAAGGATAAATAATAACTTGATGTTAAATGAAAATTGTGTTATGAGATAATTTTACATTAATCTTTCTGTCAGACTTGTGATCTAACTATTGTTATACTGCATTTATACAAACGAGGAATGACTGACGAGAAAGATTTTCCAAATTTCTCAAGGTTTCACAAAAGTACAAGATTCCACATAAGTTCAACCCGAGGTTCAACCTTCGCTCATCTGTTTACCAAGTGAAATACATTTATCTTTTTATTTCAAATGGGTTGCCTAAAAAATTAAGTCAAGACTACCCTTAATTAAAATTAATGTAATTAATGTTTCTGTCTACTGCTTCCTATATCATATGGAAAGAGCTCATGCGTACGCTTAAGTTCGATTCCTACACCGCGAGTAGCTGTTACCTGTGTCCATCTCTTTCACACGGAATAATACACGTTTCTCTCTCGCGCGCTACATAAAATTCCGACAACCAAACCATACTGTTCCGTGCGAATAAAGAGGACGCAGCGTATCTATAGTTGCTCGTAGTGTACAAGTGCGTGTACCTATCGATGCAAGAGAGTGCGTATGCGCTTTCTCGATGTAATAGCAGACAGAAATATGAATTACATGAATTTTAATTAAGCGTTAATTAATTTTCTTAGACAACTCATTTGCTTTAAAATGTATTTCACTCGGTAATAGGCGGAGGAACGTTGGCCTTAATGTAGGATCTAAAGGACTGATCAGAGTGGCAGCAGCGAGCGTCGCCACTATTGTTTAATATAGTGGGAGCCCAACCACCCTGAATACGTATGCGCTTGATTACATTACGCTCGCCGCTCCTACTGTGAACAGTCCTTTATAGTAGAGACGAGCTCGAAATCCACTAAACAAGAGTGATCAAAATTTTAACCAATGGAGTTCCACTTTGGCCTATCCGAGTATGCTAAAATCGATCGTCTCCCGCCTCAGGTCATATGAAGGCGCTGCGGTACCAATTTTAAATTGTTGTTTTTTGAGAAAATATGTTATACACCAAATGAAAATGTTGATAATAGCTCTTTAAAAAATCACCAACATTTAAAAAACAATTCTTAGTCGGTTTTTCACGAAATTTCTACGGATATAACTAGGTAACAAGGTTGGATGTATGAAGCTGATTTTTTTACAGACTAATGGTAGATACTGCCAATGACTTGACAGTGTCTCTTTTTTAATTTTTTTCTCTAACTATAAGATTATCTTATTATTTTAAAAGATCTTATAATTAGAGAAAAAATTTAAAAAAGAAAGATATCAAAAAATAAATGTAACCAAACGCTTAATGATTTTTTCCCAGCTTTCTGATATAATAGTGCTAAAACAAAATATTTATTACATGTCAGTTTCGAGTAAACCATATCAATTTTCTTATGGACGCTCTATTGGATTTTTATGTCACTTGATAGAGAAAAAAATTGTCTGGGATACATTGTAACGCAGCAAATGCAGTCAGTTGTTATTTAGACACGTATATTACAGCAAGTTATAGAGAATCTACTGATCCCTGTGGTAGATCTACAAAATTTGTAACTAAATTCTATTATTTACTTTTATTAGAACATACAAAATATGAACAATAAGTATCTACTATAAAATCTAATTGTACATTATATAAAAAAATTGTATAGAGATAAAATAGAAAAATGGACGGAAAATAAGATACACTTTCAGCACTCTTACAATAATTAATATCAAAAGGCACACTTATAAATTAAAAATACTCCTGCTTACACCCTAAACAGATACACTTTGTGTGTCAATTAATTTTCAGATGGTAACTTAGGTAAAATCTATAATTAAACATTTAATGAGTAAAATTATTAACAAAATAAATTGGAATCAACAACTTATGATTTTGATCATTTGTGCCCATGTCACCTCTTCCTTATATTATCTAGCTTATTTCCATGTGCGCGTGTCACAAGCAAAATGTGCCAACCGTACCTGTTTAATGCCGACATATTTTTTATTTGGAGATTTGATAAAGCTAAACATTGCCATAGACAAATAAAAATCAGTCTCAGTTAAATTTATATCTTCATGTCATTTTATTGCTGCATTTAATTATGCAGAAAAATTTGGACGGTTCATTTGTAATTAACTTTATATAAAATTGCATTTCATGATAAAAATGTTCGAGTTTTTAGATTTGAAGAAGTGAAAGACATGTCATAACAAAAAGTGTCATAAAATTCACATAGGTAGTACTTCCGGCAGCGATACGACACTGATACGTATGAAACCTGGTTTTATTATTATCAACTAAATTAATAAACTCTCCTTCCACCAACTGTCCGTCGTAATAGGTTATTTGATCTTCAAAAGGATATTCATAGCCTTGTTTGCATTCACACTTGTAACCTCCCGTTTCATATCCTCGTCCCAAGATCGGAACACACTGAAATATTAACTTATGTTGAAATATTCCCAGTAATAATTACTTACATATGAACTTTTCTTATCACATTTATTTGTCCCCTTAAATGCATTTGGAACATATGCTTTGTCTGGGCATTGGTTTATATCTAATTTTGTCAGATCCATTGTAACCGCCACAACACCCCTGAAACATTCATGTCATGACAAATTTTATTAGAAGTGAGATCTTACTTAAATTCTAATCTCGCCTTCAAAGAGTCCCATCCGAAAAAAGGTGCTGCATATGGAACTTTCCACATTGGAACCTTTCCATAGCAATCGTAGTAAGGATTTCCCCAATAACCGTGTTTTAAAGTAGCAGCTCTATAGAAGTTTGGATAATGCTCATATTTTTTCATTGTCTCCCCAGTTTCGTTGAAACGAATCTTTATTTTCATGTAGTACTTCTCTAAGCTATCGAAATTTGTGGACCACCTCTGCTTTAAAAATTGATACCATTCTTCATTTATGTATAACTCATCTGCAATATTTGGCAATGATTGTATTTCCTTACTTGAACTATGTGGATTAGAGTAACTTTAAGAATACAAAACAAATTTTAGGAATATTCCACACTTTTGGTTACAGGTATTAAAAATACAAACCTGACTTATTTAACCTAGCTAAATCCTCTACAAAAAACTTCCTTGTATTTAACTGTGTTTTGTATGCGAATGGAGCAAAGAAAGTGCGATTGGTAAATTTATTTCGGTCCCAGTAAGTACCAGCTGACCAAATACGACTGTTGCCCATTACAATTGACAGAGTTTCGGCAATCATTTGATCCTCTGTTAATGGCTTATCAGTAACTCGCTTACCGGAGAAGACTTCTTTTGGATCTGCAATCTACAATACATTCTTATCAACGTACTTCATAAAGCAAAGTAAATAACCTGAAGGAATGCACTTATAAAATTGGCTAGACGTAATGCCATTTTTGCTTCATTTTCAAAAAACTCTTCTGCACCAAAACTGTAGCCACCAATCAATATTAATTGTTGAGGTGCAAGTTTTCTACAGTTTTCAGGGTTTAATCCTAAAATAAAGTCTAACACTCTGTGAATATTCAAGTGTGAAGCGCGCACAGAATCAGGTCCCACAGTATAATTTTTGTATTCAGAGTACGTTTGCATAGCGATGTCTCTCAAAACTGGTGGTGCTCGACTGAGTTGCACCAGGGTTTTTTGCACCCCTAAAAATAAGTCAGAATTTAGTTATTTTCAGATTGAGGACTGTTAGGATCTTTTTTAATCATATTGGTAGTTAGGCTATAGTGGACAGACTTGGCTATTAGCAAACAGTAAGTAGTAGAAATTATAAAAATTCAACCCCATAGAAATATTTGACTATTACTTCATGAGATCGTAATGTCTGTCGGTTCGTCTGATTTCGTGTAAATTGCTATATTTCTGAAAGTAGGTATTAAAAAGCGTTTGGGTGAAATTTGTTTACACAGGGTGTTAATACTAAGTCCTTACACCATGAGTTACAACTTATTAAAACAAACGACTTTTATTAGTTTCGAATTTTTGATTTGGTGCCCGGTTCGAAGTTATTCACGTTCTTTTGTATTTCGAAAAATCGTCATCCTTTATTTTAAGGAGTATTGAATAAAAACAAAAATGTTCAAACCTCTCTTTCAGTTCTTTAAAATAATTGTATTTTTTCACTACGCTACTCAACACAACACAAATCTAAATGCCGGGAATGACAAGCATCACGACACGCTGCGTCAGGGAAATGTGTTCATCACTATAATAATTCGGCATCTAGATCTGCGTTACGTCACATCATGTTACGTCAGGAAGGTATGTTCCTGCCTTAACTCCCTGGTCCCTCCCGGATCGTTACCAATGATGAAAAAGATCTCTATTACCTCCTAACAAAGAAATCAACTTACATCCAATTTTATGGCAATTAAATTCATTATAATACTGTTCTGAAGTTGCTCTTTCTACAATTTCTCCCAGATAAGGCCTCCTAACTTGGAAAGGCAAACGATACCCTGGGTTACATCGACATTGATAACCCCCTCTTCGAAAACCCCATCCGTGAATTGGTTCACACTGCAATAATAAAATCATTCTGTTATGTAATTCAGAAAACAAAAAAAATCACCTCAGTTGTTTCTTTTTTACAACGGGCTGTATCTGCAAATATGTTTGGTCCATCATTGCCAAGACTTTTCGGGCACTGATTAATATCTATTCTGTCAAACTCCATTTCAACAACTGAAACCGCAGTGTACCTAAAAATCATTATGCCACAAAACAAAATTATGTTTCACTAAGCTCACGTTGGATATTCAATATGTCTAAAACCAGTATGTCGTGGGTAGATGTCAGCGATCGGTGAAACAGCAGCAACAAGCCACCTGTTAGAGCGACCACAGTCAAAATATGGCCTTGTCCATTTTACAGGTCCAGGCACTTCGTCCGAATCTCTAGGACCATGGAATGTAAATGTTTCATTTGTGTTATTAGCATAGCGAATTTCCACTTGATATGTGGTCTTTGTGTCATGACGCTCTGATACCACATCAGGTAGCCAAAGCTTATACCATTCATTTATGCGATAATAATCCGAACTGTAATCGTAACTAGTATCAACCGGAACAGCTCCCAAGTCCTGCACAATGAATGTGTTCAGTGTCGATATTCTCTCCAAATGAATGGGATCGTTGAAATCATCTGCTCTGTATGTTCGAGGGGCAAATCTGGGGAAGGTTTTGTTGAAGAAACCAAGATATGATGATGAATAAGAAGTATTTGGTGAAAAGTAGATTGCACTAGTATTCACATGTTTATTTGATGAAACATCTGCAACTGTGGACAGAAAGTAGTACATCATTCCAGGGTCGTACGTATCATTAATAGCAGGTCGAATAAAACGACTTTGTAGAATGTAACTCCAAAAGAAAGCCCTGCTACGTGCTATATTGTGTACATGTAAAAGCATCGTCCTATTGGGAAAGATTGGATTTATATTAACGTCCTTTATATCAGGCTTATGAGAAACGGAATCTTCCGGCAAATACAAATCTCCCAAGTGTTGAATTGGGCAGTTATCCTTATTGACTTTGTCCATTTGTAATCGAATTTCGTCGAAGGCATCTCGACTCTGCCACTCGTATTGTGCAACAACATAAAACGACAACACACATACAGAAATTGATGATAAATAAATTTTCCACATTTTTAACAATTAATTGCACTTAAAATTTCATATTTTGAGCACTTTTAAATAATAACAATAAAGATAGGTTATTCCTCAGGTGCCCTGCCCACAACACTCATCACAACACAATCATTTAGGATGGCGGTGGGTGGTAAATCAACAAGTGTATTGTTATCGTATAGGCAACACACGTTACAAAGATTATTATTGATTTGAGGCGTATAAGATCAAAACCGGACATGTCACATGATTATGGTTTTCCAAAAAACGGAATAATCTGTCCAGTGGATTCGAAACATAAAAATTCTTGGTTTGAGTTGCAGATCTACCCAAAAACCCAAAAAATGATACTTACTCAAGAAACAATAATGAGTTATTAATTAATTTAATTAGGGTTTGGCCGAATTTGCACCCAAAATGTGGACAATTGCAACATAATCAAAAATTTATTAAAAATGAAAATAAATTTTATATAAAAAAAGCACAAAAAAGGGGCCACGCCACTTATATGCAAGAAACTTCCTCAATAAATTCATGATCACATGACACAATGCCAGAACGTTATTGGTTCAAATGAACATGTCCGTTTTTGCATCAGAATTTCATGGGACATGTCCGCTTTTGAATCTAATGGCAATTTTCAAGCCTGATTTTAATAGGAAATGTACGGATTTGCAACTAAGCTGACTTCATATTATTATAAAACACGCCTCAATGTACAAAACGTATATCTCACTTCATTTTGTTAAAATATGTGACATGTCCGGTTTTGATCCTATACGCCTCATTTTACCATTGAATAACGGGTGATCAAAAATGAGTTGCTGTCCAGCTGCCTTTGGAAGTTCAGGTTAAGTCCCATGGAAACAAAAATTCCAAAGGGGACTTGACAGCAACTCATTTTTGATCGCATAGTATTTTCACTCAACGTGTACCTATACATTTTTGTCTGCTATGAAATAAATTTAAATTCCATAGAAAATTCACGCATCATTACATTATGTGCAGGATAGTATTTGTCAGTAGGCAGTTCTAGTTTACTAGCTAGGAGCTTATATCGTGACCATACCATCGAATTGAAACATTGTGTATACCTAATTGGTTTTGGAAATACTTTTAGAAGCAAATAATTTTATTGATGTAAAATGTAATGTATTTATACTAAAAACAACCGAACTAACAAATGGTATCTATAAAGTCCTTTTATATCACGATGTGTTCAAATGTAAAGAAGAATAGTTTCCACTTCCTCTTCAATATTCATAACTCAGAAAATGCTGTAATTTCGGTTGTTGTAAGAAAATATTATCTCGGATACAATGCCAGTTTTTTTTGAATAGGTAGGGGAAGAAAGAATAAGTTTGCGAAAGTAAGTAAAGAAATAATATAATTAATTCTTTTACTTTGAGATTTTCTATCAAATGAATCAAATGAAGTTACAATAATTGTGGTGCTCTACTTCTGACTTCCGTAACTCTGATTACCACTAGGTATATGCTTTCAGCATGACATGCGACATCACTTGAATAACATTTCGAACAAACGTACCATGTGTCAGTTTTACCAAGTTGATTGTATCAAAGATCATACTACACAAGAGTAAAGGCAAACCGTCATTTCTTCAGAAATGGAAAATTATTGAGAACTGGAACCCTTATTATTTTTTTTATGTTCTTTTCGGTTTTTTACGGTTTTTAACAATAGGGAGGTTCGACATTTTTGGTATCTGTTTTATTTTAACTAAAATCGAGAGATCTTAGTTATTAAAAAACGATCAGAAAAAATTGAGTGCAACGTATTGATATTTACGATGGTCAGACGAAGAAGTGCAAAACGTTGTAAAAGAATTCATTAAGCGGCAGCCACCGCAGTATTTTGGGAGTAAGGTTCCATTATCCATTGGTGGACATGTGCCCTAATTGTGCCAGTAATGACTTGCAAATATATTTCTTAATAAATTTTTGATGGGTCAAAGATATGTTTCAACTGAACGAGTCGTATGTGTACAAGTACAAATTTATATTCTTTTTTGCCCAAGGCACAGAATTTTATCTGTGCCCAAGGTTATAGAATTATCCCACTTGTGCCCGGACGCTGATGAGCTGTCTCTTCCTTCTGCACAAAATGCCATGATAGGTATATAAGTTTCTGCATTGTAAAACGATATATTTTAATATTTTTGACACAGTAACTCAACGAGCCTGTTTTCTTCTTGTTAATCGAATTTTAAGCAATAGGTATCACCGATCATAGTTGCCTTGCACAGAAATCTTATCACATTACTTAACTGGAGGTTTACCCAATTAACAACAGTATTTAAGTGCACTTATTGATAATGATATAAATAGCACCAATAAGACACAAAATTGTGTCGTAAATCGTAGAGAGTGCCCTCCACTTCCAAACTGGAATTTCTTTTCTTTTCCTTTTCAAATGCTATCTAGGGAGACGAGACGTAATTGTCAATCGAGATAAACATTTCCAATTCCACTGCCCAAAAATGTCTTTGTGCATATGTCCTATGTTCCCATATACTGTAATTTTTACACTATGAGGTTCCTAAGCAGTAATGTCTAAAGTCGTCTGTCCCTATTTCTCCTTGTCCAAGAGAGTAGCAACCGAAATTACTGCACTAAATCAATATAAGGTATACGCGTATACGTACACTGTACAGTCGCATTAAACTTTCTTTATAAAGTACTTTGCCGTTAGGAATAATTTTTCAGTCGGTAAATGTGTATATTTCTTTTACTGTCCCAGACTTCTCATCGTGTAGAAATCGAGTTTTACAAATTGTAGAGAGAATCAATTATCTTTTCTTTCAGTATACAGAAGCGAATTGGCCACGTAAAATGCGAATGCATTGTAATTCCACTTTGCAAAATATGAAATAAATAGAGTAAAACCAGTTCGTTTACAACTTGTAGGTCTTCATTTCGTCCGTTACGAAACGTATACGTAATGTACGTTTACCCCAACTGATGTCCTTTGTTTGGAGCACCTCGCGATTGCATTTAACAAGTGCTTAGGCGAGAGGGGAAAGAGGTAGAAGACTACAATTTGCGAAGCAGCTGGTAATGCTTTTGGTTGGTACTCGCGCCAAAGCCGTTTGCCATTCTTATTCATCTCTATAGATAAACCGTACACTGCAGTCGTGACTTCGAAACCAGTTCGCCAGATTTTAACCGCCTCCGCCCCTTTAAGATATTTATTTTTTATCTAGAATAACCCGTTTGTTCTGTTGGCGGGAAATTTTACTAGCGGCCCACTTTCGGAATTAACTTTTTAGGCTCGAATACCGAGATAAAAGTGTGGGCGACAACGACCTCGTCGTGCCAAATTGTAGATAATTGAGAAAACTAATTCAATAATGTTGTGTATGCAATTGATGTACTATTAATAAACGGAAACCGTTACTGACTTAAGAATGCACGTACATTTTTACCGGTCGATTATTAACGAGTAGGTACAGCGTCGTTAATTTACAGATAGAAAATCGAAGCGAGATGCGATCGATTTTAATTTGTTTCCATAAACGCGCGAATTTTTGTTTTGAATACGTATTTTCTGTCTTACATCGGATTTTGAATGCAAAATATTTTATTCACACATACTGGTCGTCTTCGTAGACTGGTTTGCGATATTTGAATTACAAAGGCGCATGTCCATTGGCCGCTAACAACCCTGAATGCAAGTGACGCGTCGCTCAGACGGGTTGCAAAACAACGTATTTTGTCGGCTGCACGTTGCATTTGGCATAACGCCGCGGGAGTCGGTACTACACCAAAATTTTTCACTAACAAAAAAATCGTTTTTATTAAGTTTGAAATTATCACGTTTTTGTTAATTAAATAGTTCTACTTTAAGTTTTAAAATGTTTGTTGTGTTTTGTAAATCTGCAATAGCTTTACATTAAAAAGGATTATAGTGATTGGTATGTAGCTATTTTTAATTTTCATTGTTAGCGGTTGTATTTTTGCGGTTATGTGTTCGCGTTGGCCGCGCTGTGCGTTTTGTGAATTGGAATTTGGGCAGCAATTAAGTTAATTTTGGTTTTCGGTGAGATTTTGTTATTTTTTATTTAGCGCTAGAATGTCGTTTTTGAATTTCTTACGCTAATGCGCAGCGTACTGTACGCCGGGTTCGAGGCTAAGCCCGTGCGCGTCGTTATGTGAACCCCGAAAAGCGGCTCCCGTCACGTTGACGTTAGATTTTAGACGGCCATTAAATTGTTGTATGATCGCCATTTTTATAGTTATTATTAGTAAATAAGCCAAAAGGTAGGCTAACCAAATTTCCATATTATCTTTTACGTGTAGATTTTCTTTACGGTGGCGGTTTTAGCGTCATTTTATCGATTTGGTTTCCCCTAACGCATTCAGTCCAGATTATCGTAATTGACAAACCGGCACTTAACCAAACACATTTTATACATTCCAATGCGACATTCTTTTTCAGTTTATTCCAATTTGCTTCGTCATTTTACCTTACGCTATTTTTAACGAAAATAGCATACTAAAGTCATGTACTAGAAGAAAAAAAACTTGAGAATGCCGGTTTAACATTTCACCACGCATGCGTTAAAAATTGGCGCCAATTTTAATCGTTATTGTTTAGTGCACTATGAAAACAGTCGAAATTCTGTTTTCTCAATTTTTTAGAAATGTTTTGTAAAATTTTTCTATAATTTCCACGTAATTCTATTTAACAGCTATGGCAGAAGGGAATGGCGAATTAGGTTTGGAAGAATCAATGAAAATTGAGCCTGATTCGGAGGAACGAACAGAGGACTTCAAAAAATTAATCGAATATGGCCTAGATGAGAAAGTAGCAATTAAACTCGATGATATTTATAAGACGGGAAAATTGGCACACGTCGATTTGGATGAACGAGCTTTGGATGCGCTGAAGGAATTTCCAGTCGATGGAGCTTTAAATGTATTAGGACAATTTTTAGATTCCAACTTAGAACATGTTTCAAATAAATCCGCCTATCTATGTGGTGTTATGAAAACGTATCGTCAAAAAAGTAGGGCAGGTTCTACGCAAGGACCTGCCACTCCCGCCACAATTCCTGCCAAAGGCCCGGATGAAGATAAGATTAAAGCAATTTTAGAACGTACTGGATATACCTTGGATGTTACAACCGGTAACTTAATTGATCTTTATTACTTAATTACAATGTAACTTATGAAGGACAACGAAAATATGGAGGACCACCGCCGGGTTGGGACGGTTCTACTCCTGGAACCGGCTGTGAAGTGTTTTGTGGCAAAATACCCAAGGATATGTACGAAGACGAATTAATTCCGTTATTCGAAGAATGCGGCGTTATTTGGGATTTGCGGTTAATGATGGATCCCATGACTGGTACTAATCGAGGGTATGCTTTTGTCACCTTTACAACTCGTGATGCTGCCCAATCTGCCGTCCAGAAGGTAAGATACGTTGGTGCCGGTAAAATAGTGATGTAATTGTTTGTACTACTGTAGAATGGAAGGTTTGTGGTTTTATTTATGGGGTCCTTTAAGCAGTAGAGTTAAAATTTTCTTTTCCTTGAATGCCTTTTTTATATTGAATCACCCAAACCGTTAATTATATGTATGAACTTGTCACATTTAATGTGGTTTTGTATTTATTTTTATTTTTATAATCTCAATGGTGTTGCAAATTGTAGAGCAGACATAAACATTCGATTTTCTTCAGTTGCATTAATGAAGTGATGTGCTTGTTAATTGGTTTTGCATTAGAAGCATTTCAAAATGCACTCTAGTTCTGTAAAGAAAATTAATTAAATTTGAAGTGAGACTTTGATTTTGTTGTGGAACAGCAGATGCACCAGCTGTAACGGTCACTGGCACTAGTCTGCAGGTTTTCTTGGATTAATGTATTGAATAATAGCACCCTTCTACAAAATTATGATCATCTAAAGCCATCTTTTGTAGTTCTATACAGGGTGTTTTTTTGGGAGCTTTAGTTAATCGTTTCTGAGAAAGTAAAATACGTAGGTTTTTGAAAATGTGTACTTAGGAGTTACTCTGAAGGCCGAATCGATGTAAAATATTTTCAAAATGGCCGCACTTCCGGAAACACCGGAAGTAGATAGTAACTTCGTTATTTTAAATGGCAACCCCCTATTTTTTATTACATTTTTGGATTCTACGTAAAATTCAGTTCTTTTGATACCCATATGTCGATATCTGCCATTTATGGTTTTTAAGTTATTTTGACTTTAAGAAAAAAAATGGCGGATGCAGATGGTACCTTGATATTTGATTACTTGAAAACGGTTGTAGTCATGGCAACCTATTTTTATCAGTGCATAGAGAATGAATAGGGCTTTCTTTTAGTGCACTTAAAAAAAAGTTAAGTTGCGTACGACCACCCCTATGGATATCCAAATTTATGAAACTTCAAAGACTAAAAACTCAGTTTTTTTAAATGGAATGACCATGTTCTTAATATTGCATGAGATAGAGAATCGAAATTGGCATATTTTGATATTACATGTTCCTATACCTATCTTTAACAGTTTCTGATTTATTCCCATTTCATTGAATTGATCTCGGAATTGATGCCATTTTTTTCGCATTTTCTTTTTAGTAGTTGGCCATGATTTTATAACAGTCGAATTTTAAACAAATCAAGGAATGGATTCTTTAATACCATTGATTCTAGTTCTAGTCTAAATAATTAATTAATAAATAACTCATTTATTAAGGATATAGGACGGAAAATTTTTGAAAAATCTAAACAGAGTCGTTCAACTGAATTTCTTAAACAACGTATAAGTCTGGAAATTAAGAGACGTAATGCGATATCGGTTCTAGCAACAATTCCATACCAAAAATGTTTCAACGAAGTTTTTTATATTTTGCATTGAATTTATTTTGTTAATCTTGCACTTGCAATTCAATTCATTTTCTTAAATATTCTCTTGTAGAGCTTTGTATCACTTGTGATTCAACGGTTTGTAGTGCATTTCCAAAATTCATACAATTTCGTTCCAGTGTTCGAATGAATGTACGGCAAGCACGTGGCGCGATTCTGTCTATTTCACCATAAATAACAATTAAATTCCAAAATAGGTCATTTTTCGATTTTTGAAAAACTTATGTTAACCTATAACAGTAGGTGACGGATTGATGTCACTAGATTTGTTTAAAATTCGATTTTTATAAACTCATGGCCGACTACTAAAAAGAAAATCCGAAAAAAATAGTGTCAATTCAATAAAATGGGAATACGTCAGAAACTGTTAAAGATAGCTATAGGAACATGTATTGTCATTGAATACAACCGTTTTCAAGTAATCAATTATCAAGGTACCATCTGCATCCGCCATTTTTTTTTAAAGTCAAAATAACTTAAAAACCATAAATGGTAGATATCGACATATGGGTATCAAAAGAAGTGAAATTTCACGTAGAATCCAAAAATGCAATAAAAAATAGGGGTTGCTATTTAAAATAACGAAGTTACTATCTACTTCCGGTGTTTCCGGAAGTGCGGCCATTTTGAAAATATTTTACATAGATTCGGTCTTCAGAGTAACTCCTAAGTACAAATTTTCAAAAACCTACCTATTTTACTTTCCCAGAAACGTTTAACTAAAGCTCCCAAAAAAACACCCTGTATAATCAATCTATTAGGTATTGTATGATCTGGTTTATTACATATGATCTAATCAGTACCAGAGCGGGACAAGAGCTTAGCTTAAGCTTTCCTAGGAATGCATATGCAAACATTGTAGCCATAGGGACTAAATTATTGTTCCCTAGGGCTATGTTGTTTGCACATTCCAGTTAAAACATTTTAACTCATAAAAAGCTCCCAGAAAACAACATTTTTTAAAAAGAATTTAGTTAGTTGGATAATCTTAGTTATGTATATTGTCCATCAACCTTTTGTAACATTTTTAGAACTCCTAAATGGATGGTCTTTTTTTCAAGACGTTTGAAACTGAAGGTTCGATTTAAAATCAATTTTTCAGATGGCGAATCCTTTTGCAGTCCTATAGGCATGTAAATCTGTGCCAGTGTAGGTGCAGGTGTTTAGTTACGTATAGCTATAAGTGGATGTGTTATTGAATTTTCAATTTTGTTAACTCATTTTTCTAAAAGGAAGAAAAAGTGGGTTTTGTAATCGAGTACTTGTACTCCTTCGGTGTTGTTTAGTATACCTCTTGATCTGTCTATTGTCTGCTGCCTTACTCTGTATATTAACGTGTGTTGCCATTACTAACTTTTTTGTCAATTTGTTTGACAGATGTCACCACTGGAAAGTGTTAGTTCATGTCTCATAAATAGGTCTCTCGTTAGTACAGTAAAATTACAAATTACTTCTAGGCTAATTTGAGCAAGATCTTTACTTACTTGGATAGTCAAACAGTAACGAAGATCTTCCTGTTTTGTTTTTTTATTTCATTTAATTGGATACGGTAAAATATTCATAGTTTCACCAATTCTGTTCAAGGAGCTACAATTGGGTATATTTGAATTTGCCGTATCACACTATACGCTATGGAAGAATATTGTACAAAATGGTTTTTTATTGATCTTTTGTTACATATATACAGAGCGCTACAAACGTAACGTAAAAAATCATCTTTTTTTCTGTTCTGTTTTCAGAAAAATGCAAAACAAGTCAATTAGTATATACAAATTGCCATTTTGTGGCAGTAGCTTGAACATTTTTGTGCCATATTTGACTGATCTAATACGATATCGAACATTTTTAAGCACCCCCAATTTTTTTAAGCATAAGGGATAGTCCCGTTATGAGAATTTTTGTGATATAGGGTTTAACCTAGTAGACTTTCATGAGAAAGAGAAAAACCCATCATTTGCTCCCCATATTAACTTAGAGTGTTCATAATGACACCAGTCGAAAGATGATTTTTTTTCATCTAATGATATACAAATTAGTTCATTTTCAGTTGTATCTTGTATTCTTCATTATTTTATCAAAAAAATTCGGCAATAAATCCAATTAGCAAAATCATGTTAACCATGGAAATTTTCTAAAGAATTGAAATAGCTTTTGACACAGAGTGAATGGGATGCTCATTAAAATGCACGGAAAACAAATGTAGCGTAGGTACCAGGCGAGGTACCAGGATATAATTTTTGATAAAATAACGAAAAATACAACTGAAAATGAAGTGATTCGTATATTATCAAGTCCGGGAGGTAGCTGCTTATTTGAAAGGAGCATTTTCGCAAAGCTCATCTTTCTACTATAGATTTTTCATCCATAACTTATCAACGATAGGGGCATTAGCTGGTTCAAAAGCGTGGCTTAATTTGGCGAGATTGGAAAATACGTACAAAAAATTGTAAAAAAAATGGTACAAATGACTGTCAGCTTATATTTAAATGTTGCAAAACCTGTTAGCTGGGCGTCCAAAGTATAGCGTTGATGACCCAGCTAACATATTTTTCCACGTTGTCCTGTCAGCTAACAAGTGGTTTTCTTTTTTTTGTACCATAAACTGATGAGGTACTCATTTCCATGCATCCTGATATCTTACTGGAGAAAAATATGATTGAAAGAGAATACAGGAGTAAAATGGTATCACTTACCTATTGTATAATAATATTATTAAATTGAAACATTGTACTTTATAATTTGTAACGTGGTTAAGGACACAGAAATTAAAAGGGGACAAAACAAACCAAAAAAAGTAAACTAATAGCCCTAACCACGGCTGCGGCTGTTCACGGAGAGACTAGGATATGTTTGTGTGAGATTACATTTTAGGCGGTACTGACTCTTATTTTCCTATTAGTGAGCTGTGTCCAAAAATTTTGAAAATAGGCCTCTGGTGGACGAGGAAGCTAAGGGGAAAATAAGACAAATGTAGGTGGTTCTCGAAATAATAGCTTTTTCGAGCTTTATCTATATCAATTGAACGAGGATGCTACAAAGAAAACCAAAGGTGACACACAGGCCGTAGAAAGCAGGGTGAAGGATAAACGAGCATACAATTATAGAGCAAAGGATTAAAGGAGCGAAAGAATAAGAACGAGGGTAAAAACGGAACAAGAAAAATAAAGGCTAATTTCAATATAATTTACAATCACAAAAATAATAGGAATTCTACTCTTACCATTGGTAAGAAACCAAACAACAAAACCTCAACCGACTATGTAGCTCAGTGGTAGAGCGTTGGGCTATATAGCCGGATGTCGGGTATTCGAAACTGGGCCGAGGGAAGAATTTTTCATCTGTGGCAGGAATGGGAATTTTCTTAGATCAGTTTCAAGTTTTTTTTTACTGAAACATTTTTCAATCAGACCAACTGTTTATATTAACACGCATGCTGTCGCATAAGCGTCTCAGTCACGCCTGGTCTGTTTTATTTTTATCGCGTGTTACTGGTTGCGTTTTGTTCTAACAGGAAAATAAAAGTTATTAGCGCCTAAAATAATCTCACAGATACGTACCATAGTCTCTTCGTGAGCAGCCGCAGTCGTGGTTAGGGGTATTAGTTTCCTTTTTTTTATTTGTTTTGTCCCCTTTTATTTTCTGTGTTCTTCGTTCCAACGTTACAAAGTATAAAATACAATATTTCAATTTATGCATAATATTTTATTCCTGCATTCTCTTTCGATCATATTTTTCTCCAGTAGTATGGTATCAGCGTGCATGGAAATGAGTACCTTATGAGATTATGGTATAAAAAAAGAATACCACTTTCTAGCTGACACGACAACGTAGAAAAATGTGTTAGCTGGGATCATCAAAGACCCCGCGTGCGCCAGTGTGCGCTAAAGCTAGACTACACTTTGGACGCTCATTAGATGAGAAAAAAAATCTTTTTTCAGGTGTGTCATAAACCCTCTAAGTTAACATGGGGAGCAACGATTTGCAAAAAAACTTTTACCTATGTTAATTCCCTATGTTCGGTTTTAGAATATTCACCCAGTATGTAACAAAAGAAAAGGTTTAAAATTAAAATTTGGGAAAGACAAATACTACCTATTAATTATCACATACCATATATTTATTTCCATTTATTGTAGATTTGTAGAATTAGGGAAAAGTTCCACATTTAAAGAGCAATTATCATGTTTTAAAGAAAACCAGAAAATTCGATTCCTTTCAAAGACAAGTCGGAAAATCTGAAATTTGTTGATGTTGTTTCGAAGAAATCATCAACTTTATTTCTTTATATGGTCAATAAACAACGTACATACTGTATTGAGTAGCATTTTTTGTTACAAATACAACAATATACGGCACTCAAAAAAAACAGAATTTGAAAACTCTTGGTACGCGGGTGCACTATTCTGTTGAAACCAACAGTTTTCAAATTTTGTTTTTGTGTGTATCATTTAAGGAATTAGATATCAACCATGAACCAAATTTTTATGAGGGGTCATTTTATGTGGAAAACCATCTCATTAAATAATACAGTACATGATCGTTACTAATGAATGGAACTTAACTTGCAAATTATGAAAAACAATTTGGAATTGAAATGTAACACCTTAATTAAAGTAGAATTCTTACTCAATTTCAAGAAACCAATGCATCAAAATATTTTGTTTTCATTTTGTTGAATTTAGTATAGTACAACTTTTTACACTTTGTGACACCTTGCATAGACTAAAACATCTGTTGATAATTAATGGTCTTAAGTGTGAAAGTTCAAACTTTTGTGTGGACCTCTTAATTTTCCTAGCAAAATTTGTACTTTGTAACGTAACAGTATTATATTCAATTAGATGCTTCTTAGCACTGATTGTAAATTGGTGAACATCCGTTACGTTAAAAAGAATGAACATTAAGATGCCGGATTCCTATTTTGCCAGTCCACTGATGTTTAGTTTAGCATCTTACTGCCGAACTTGGATGCTCAACTGATTGTTTTGTGGATAATCATTGGGAATCGTGAGAAAAGAAATTGGGCGTCTTGTTGTTCATTTAGCACATGCATCATAATTGGCAGTTCTGTTATAGCGATGTGTGCCAACTGTTGTCACAGCCGTCAATTGAGAGCTGACTTTTGTTACAGCGGCTCTGACTACGGAGCATACGTTCTTTTCCTTGTAGCTTTCACCTCCATCAGAGCCCTTGAGTGACCAAATTGAGATGATAAAGACACTCAGTGTCACAATTGGCTCTAGTGAAGTACTGGTGTGTTTGGCTGGATAAATTTTTTTTTCAGGTCTCCTCTTTGCACAAGGGGCAAAATTGAGACCGGAAAATAGCAAAGCAGAGGTCCTAAAATTCCAAAATTCAAACGCAAAATTTTAGTTTTACGCAAAAAAGTAAAGAAAAAAGATAGTTGTAGTGCATTGGTTTGGGAGTAGCGGTACCAGAGTTCCAGACTTCATATACGGGTTACTAAATCTATAGCAAGCATGCCCGTTCAGTAGTTTGTTGGTGCAAAATTGTTTTTTTGATGAATACTAAATTTATAATAAGCGTACTATAATTATTGATGTGGCAAACCAAATTCTGGCATGTTTTGTTTCTTCACCCACAGCTCGATAATTATGAAATCAAACCTGGCAAGACGTTGAAAATTAACATTAGTGTTCCGAATCTTCGACTTTTCGTTGGAAACATACCCAAGTCTAAAGGCAAAGAGGAGATACTGGACGAGTTCGGTAAATTAACAGGTAAAGTGCATCAGTAGCTAGTGGCGGCCGGCTGCCGGGCTCAGTCCTACTCCTTCCTAGTCCTACCCCCTTGCCCAAGGCATAATTGGCTACCCTTCCACTGTTCTTGCAGCTGAATGATTATGAGATACGAAAAGGCAAAAAGATTGGTGTAACGATATCTTATAACAATCACCGGTTGTTTGTGGGCTATATTCCCAAGAACAGGGATCGAGATGATCTCTTCGAAGAGTTTTCCAAACATGCACGTAAGTTGAGCACCCTTAATCCCTGGAATGCGTTAGTCTGCGCCTGAGCAAGGGTAGGGCAGGGCCGCTACGAGCATGGGAAGGGTAGCAAGGTCCAGTGCGAAGTAGCGTTGTGCAGTGGCTTTATAGACTAGGGCAGTGGACTTTGGTGCTCCTCCATTTCTCAAATAAAATTGTAGTTTTTGACACGTTGTTCCTAAATTTATTTTTTATGCAACAGCTGGTTTAATGGAGGTCATCATCTACAGTTCGCCAGACGACAAGAAGAAAAATCGCGGATTTTGTTTTCTCGAGTACGAGTCCCACAAGGCGGCTTCCTTAGCCAAGCGGCGTCTCGGAACTGGACGTATCAAAGTGTGGGGTTGTGATATTATAGTAGATTGGGCAGATCCACAAGAAGAACCCGACGAGCAGACCATGTCTAAAGTCAAAGTACTTTATGTGCGTAATCTCACTCAAGAAATTTCGGAGGAAAAGTTAAAGGAAACGTTTGAAAATTTCGGAAAAGTTGAAAGAGTTAAAAAAATAAAGGACTATGCATTCATTCATTTTGAAGAGCGCGATCACGCAATTAAGGTAAGTACTAAATTTGGAAACCATAAATCATTGCTTCAAAAGTCCTATGTGTTAATATTGAATTGAGTGATTGAATGTCAATGTTGAACCAAACATTTCTAACCTCTGTACAAAGAGGGTCATAAGAAGGTATTCTTATGGTAATTCATGTTTATGTTAAAGAAAAATACTACCAACTTCTTTGCAGTTTAAATTTTATTAAGAAAGTTACTGGCGCTGACTTATCCCAAATTTCACCGCTAGGGGGCGTTTCTAACTGATTTATTTCTTACCCACCTTTGGGGTTATTAGAGATAATTGATTTCCAAAAGCACTTTCTCAACTTACTTTATGGGTAGAATAAGCTGTACTTTGAGTGTGTACGTTTTCACTTATACCATTTCTTTTGCCTTTGAGAGATGTTTTTACTGTATCAAATTACACTCTATTAAAAAGAATCACACTAGACATCAGTTATACAATCAAAACTGTTTGAGAAACAATTGATTAAGTAAAGCTCTACTACCAAATTATCCACTCATGACCAAATGGTTTGAGATAGTATCGAGACAAGTGAGTTTCACAAAACATAGCCCTGGTGATTAAGTATTTTGTATCTTTAACAGAAAGGCAAATTGCCATACGAAAACGTTCCTTGTACAGTCTTGTCCAATAGGTATAATGCTGGTTTTTTGGGGTGTAATTTCAAGGGTCGTTTTAAATTTAGCAACTTTCCCCAATTTAGCAATCATTTTACCCCTTATTAGAGATAATAAGAGGTTGTTATGGTGAGGCGCGAAAATTGAGCACCTCAGATATCAATCACTTTTGACTCCGGACTAGACCACATTTATCATAAAGTGAGGGCGGGTTGCTCAAAAATATTTAATTTGGGTTTAATACTGATCCTGGTGTGATTGGTTAATGATATTGATACTATTCAATCAGGGTATAAACACACCCACTACACATCTCATCAAATGCCATAACAACTATGATGTAATCCAGTGTTAACACCGGATTACTTTTTTTCTGCAACTGGACCTTAGAATAACACTAACGAAAATGAAGACTTTCTAAAGATAATTCTTGGAAGTTTTAAATGCCACAATTTGAGATTTTGTAATCAACGAGTTGATTAATTCATAGGCGATGGAAGACTTAGACGGAAAAGAAATGGGAGGTTCACATATAGAAGTTTCGCTAGCCAAACCACCTTCGGATAAGAAAAAGAAAGAAGAAATATTACGTGCCAGAGAAAGAAGAATGATGCAAATGATGCAAGTTAGGGGAGGGTAAGTTTAACTTCATGATAGTTTGGAATCGTTTATTAATTTTTTTACATTCAGTATGATGCCAGGTAGTGCTATGCCAATGCGAGGACCGCCAGGACAAACGCCTAGGCCTGGTGGAGGAATGAGAGGTGCAATGGGTCGTGGTGACTATGGTAAGTTAAAATGGATTATGTTGAAATTGTGTTGTATTTTTGTAAGCACCCTCAATATTAAACATGGTCCTTTGCGTGCTTGTTAGTCAAGTAACTATTCTACTTCTTACTACAAGATGAAGAAAAACATTTTTCCTCAGAAATTGCGTTGAGTGATTTCAATTTTAAAAACTTTTCTTATCATGTACAGTATTTGATATAGAACCTCAAAAATGAAAGGATTGTCTTAAACAAGTAGGGTAGTGTAGTGCCTACACGGTATAGGGATTATATTAGTAGCTTCTCTTTTAGACACATCTTGCAATTTCTGAAGAATTTTATAAGCGAAAAGGTTTCGGTTGGAGGAAAACGCCTTCTAACTTTACTAACATTTCATGTTCTTCAACAAAAAAGTTATTGTGCGCTACATTGCTTTTTGTTTATAAAGATGTGTACAAGTGTGCTCTAAGTTAAGATACATTTTTGTTGTGTTGTTTCTTGGAGTGTACGCCACTTCGAGTATATGGTGCTATGGTAATTGTATATGAATTCGTTGCAGGTCTGCAAATAACAGTTAGTTGTATTCGACGCACGTTTATTCCACTAACATGTAGCTTTGAATGTGGAATAACAATGTTTGTATTGGATTACTTGCTATTAAGGTAGTGTGAGAGTGTAAGCGTGCATGCGGTCACCTCGGTGGCCAAGGGGCACTGCCAGCAGGCAAGGGCAACGTATAGCATTGCACGCGCTCCGGTTCTTTTATAACATGCATGTGTCTTATCTTTCTTATCACTTGTGTTTGTCAGCTTGCAGTAAGGAGGGGGTAAGTACTTGCAGTGGTAATGGTGTAGGGAGACTCTTCAGTATGAGCCTAGATTCTTGGCCAAGAATATTTACTTGACTCTTTTCCCGGCATGCTATTAGTACTACTTCCAGGCATACAAATTGGACCAAGTTGGCTAAATTGGGACTATTATTGTGTGTTTTATAGATTATGATTACGACTATTACGGGTATGGGGATTATCGAGGCGGCTACAGTGATCCCTATTATGATGACTATTACCGGTATGAAGATTACTATTGTGATTATCCGCCGGCACCGCCACAAGCTAGAGGGAGAGGTCGGCAGCCACAATCGGTGGGTGGCATTTTTAAATTAAACTCAGATTTCTTTATATTTAAAAGTATTTTTGATGACAATGCGGTAGTTTGATTGTGGCACAGTGTTGGCAGCTGCCACTAACCGAGCCGCACTAAACCTCTTAACTGCCCGACCCGCTTGCATGGTCGACTAACTGACGAAAACACTTGCCACACTCAAATAACCATCATATCTGAGCCAATAGGCGCTCAAAATTATTCAGCACCGGGAAAAGTGATTGAGGAGTCAGGATGCCAGGTATGCCAGGACTGGCTCAGATATGATGAGCTCTTAGTTGCAGGGTTATCCAAAAGGTGGGGCGAGGGACCGCGCCGCCACAGCGACACTAACATTTCATTTGAGTTGCTTTAACCGCAAAGTGTCTAGAAGAACGCAGCTTATCATGTGTGTCCGTGTCACTGCAATGTTTGTCGACGACCCTACAGGGCCGCCATGCATCTTGCTTGTGTCTTTGCTTTTGCTTAATAGTGCTTTATAGAGGCTTTGCTTTTTTTGGCTTTGTTTGGCTGTAGACAGCTTTTAGCTGTGTAGCCAAGCCGTTATTTTGTCTTATATATTTTGTTGTTTTTGGATAACCCTTTGTCTAAAAGCTTCCGCAGTCAATAGAATTTGCGAGCAAGTTCAACATGTAACATACACCTTTATTGTACATTATATGTCGAACTTGCTGCATTCACATTAAGTGATCCAGTGCTAAGTGTTGCCATAGGCAAAGTAACTAGTACTGATGTTATGTTGACACTTAGGAACTGGACGACGGAAGCACATTGAATTCTACCAGTCTATACTATGAAGTGAACAGTGGGACGCAGGTTTGTTCCAGCCCTTTCTACTTGCCCTTCCCTAATTTCAAAAATCCTGTACTGTTTTAAGTTTGGAGACAGGTATAAACTTTTCATTTTGAAGTTCGTAGTGTTTTTACGGGCCCAAAATGGACGCATGAGTTAACACTGCGAGTTTCGAAATGTCGTTTAGTACACCATTAACAGTTTAATTGCAGGATATTATGGAGTGATTTTGAAACACTTTCTTTAAATATTTTGAGTTTAGTAAGAAAGTGCTAGATAAGGTTTTTTTACTAGGCACTAATTTGCTCATTTATTAGGATAGCTAGGTTTAATTTAAGATGTTAATTTTTTTTATTAAGGTTCTTGAAATTGCTTTATTTGTATGTTAGTTTGTGAATGTGTGCATGAATTGTGCTCAATAATGCAGGTTTATGTTGGTAATTTCTCAACCAAATTTAAGTTATCCTGTTTCTCTTTCTGATGCTATATTTTTACCCTATTGACAAATTGTGCAATAAAATTTTTTTTCCGCAATCATTAATAGCATCCTTTGCTCGCACCAGTTTGCGTTAGCAAAATGGGCGTTTGATCTTTAGTGAGGAAAATTTGTTGATTGTTTACTTATGGCCTTTGGATGTTATGAAAATTATTGATCATGATTTATTTTAATTAAATTATGAGTATGATTGTGGAAAAAATTATGTTTAGCACTCTTGAGCAACCGCGCTTGTAGTCTCTTGCTCTAGATGTGTTCATATCTAGAGCTCAAGAGTAGGTAGTGCCTTTGCTCACTTGTACTAAAAATAACTATTATTTCAGTTTTATTTATGACCAGGAAGTGAAACCTTTCCTTTATAGTCATATCAAATTTATTTACATTGTAGTTAAATATTTTGAAGTTAATTTTATTTGAAATTTTTTTTATTCATGAGAATAATTGCACAGGCCTCTTTTAATGTTGAACTGTTTTTAGTATTGAGTATATCATACACTTCAACTTAAAGTAATTCAAATATTTAAAAAAATTGTTATTACATAATACTATCAGACGCAAGCTGGTCTGCGCAATATGGGATAAGAGGGTATATGTCGAAATTAATTCATTTAAAGCACGTTTCAATTTTTTTTATTTCTAATGCAATTTTGATTGTGCACATATGCCCTGATATCCATTAGTAGTAGAAAGGGATGGCAGATTTTTTTTATTATTAAATAAATCTGTGCCCACCAACAACCTGCTGCAACGCAAAATTAGGCTATTATACATTAGCAGGGTGTGCATTAAGAAATGTTAAGAATGGATGTTAGTTTTGTGTCTTGTAATAATGCAACATGTTAGTTTTATAACTATTGTGTGCAATAATGACTTAATATTAATTAGGCTGGCCGTGGGCGTGGGGTGGTGGCACGTGGCCGGGTCGGTGGGCCCCCGGCCCGTGGGGCGGCGGCCAACCGGGCGGGCCGGGGCGGAGCAGTAGGGGTTCGTGGGGCAGCACGGCAGCAGCCCGCCCGTGGGGGGGCCCGCGCCAAGGGAAGTTTACCAGGTGAGAAAAAAATTTTATACTTGGGTATATTTTGGTTCTGTTCACTTTTTTCCCTTAATATAACAGACACAGAAGCATCTCTCCTTTAAATTATTACTGATGGAGCTTCTGTATTGTAATTTTGTAAATTAAACACTTTAATTTCAAATTTATAACCGCAGTAATGAAAAAGTGCAAGAGAATAATAGAAAAGTAACGGGGTGGATAGTTTTTGTTAAATGTTTCAACGAACTTTATTACCAAATCTTTTTAATTTAAGGCTGGGATTTTACCTGTGTTAAATATAGGGAAAACATGCTACCATTTTTCATGTTCATCTCAAAAAGTAGGTAGTCAATATATTTTCTTAAAACTTTCATCTAGTGGACACACATTTCGCCTCTACAAAATGAAGTATTTTTGGAATCAAAATGTGTCCATTTCAATACTTTTTGTTGCTTTCAAATGTTGAAAATAATACCTATTTTTTAAATCATTTTACACAGGAATTGTAGGATGATCAAAAATGTGTTATTATGTAGACATGTTTCAATAATTTAAGTATAAAATATTTACATAATAGCTTGTTAGGTTTTTTTAGAAAAATTATCAGCAAATTAGAAGTGTGTATCATAATGCAATAGTTGCATTACAAAAATTAAATTTTTTCTACAACTGTCAAAGAAATCTGTCATTTTCTGACGAAACGAAACATGAAGTACTAGATTTTTAAACAGTTAATTAATAAGTAAGATTGCTCTTGACAACGTGCGCGAAACAGTGAAAAAAAGTATTTCGCACACGTGACAAAATTGACCCTGAACAGCAAATTTAATTAACAGTCTGTTCAGTTGTAGAAAAACTATTGTACATAACGCTAGCTATTTTGGGCATTCGACTGATATTTTAACTCCGTTTCGCCTCGTCAAAATACCTTCAGTCTCAATGCGCGAAATTGAACTTCGCGCTCTTATTATAATTATTTATAACTATTTTTCACAGGTTTTTTTGACAGTTGTAGAAAAAATGACTATTTTCACTACAATTTTTTCCATAAAAAAAAGCTATAGGTATTCAAATAAAAGACATCAAGAAAATCATATTTGCAATAAAAGTGAAAATTAAAGGAAGGTATTGAATTTGGTTTGTAAAAGTGTACTTCTTGTTCCCCTTTAATTGTTTCTCGATCTCTGTTAGTTTCCGAGATGCCCATCGCTCACATTGTAAAAAACTAACTCAGTATAAATAGGTAAATGGTTGACATTTAAATGAAAGGAGTGATTCTTCTGTGTGAGGTATTAAATTTTTGCATTGCATTCTGCATTAATTAATGTCTAAAAAAATTGTAGAAGCGTTTGCCGCTTTATAACAATCTAGCTTTTTAACAAGGTTGATTATTATTTTATTTCAGCTGTTTTGTTAGCGGTTGCTTAGTTTTTTTTTGAACATCTTCATATGGAGTTAGGACCATTCGTTTTTATAACCTAACAGTATGTACCTTTTATCCAATTTTTTCCTTTCATTACTCCTGCATTAACTTCTTGTAACAAGGGAGATTTTCAAAAGTTACGTTTGAAAGCTAAGTTTACCTAGCAAAACAGCGTGTAGTCAATAAGTATGTGTAATATGGTAATAATCTCCCTTGTTACTGTAAGCTGTACGAATTATTTACAGGATTGTGTGTTCTTTATTTAGGTAAGCGGAAGTTAGACGGGGGTCACCAGAACCAGGGGGAGTCAAAGCGCAGATACCAGAGCAACTGGGGCAGCCAGCCCCTGGCGCAGCAGCCGCTGGGAGCAGCGGGTGTTAATGGAGAGCAGCAGTGGTACCAGGATTCATACGCGTCCTGGAGCTAAGTGAAGGACAGTGTGGCCCGCGGTGAACTGAGTGCGAGTGGCCCTGCGTCTGGGCAGTGGGGGAGGGTGCGCACCCTACATGCCTGGTGTGCGCCTAAGCCCGAGGTAGTGGAACCCATACCATTTAATAATAACAGCTGATGGTGTCCCCATACCTTTCTGCAATTAGTTTTTTTTTATACTCTTGTTGATTTGGTTTAGTCATTGTGTTTGATTTTTCAAAATTTTTTGAAAATTACTTTTGTTTGCTTCCGATACACAGATTAAATTGTTTTAAGTTATTGTGTTTAAATGTTGTTATTTGCGGCCTTGCGTCCCCTCGTTCTGGAGACTACATCATGGGGACGCCGCCCATTTTAATTAATTGCCAGATGGCGTTGCCCTCTGGTGTTATAGGTGTTATTTTTTTTAATTGTGTTTTACTTAACCCTGACATCCCAAGTGTCACATCTTTTGCATCTTTGTTTGAGTTTAGTTTCTTTCAGCAAATTGTTTCATATATATAAATATATTTATGTATGTTTGATGTATTTCGTTAGACAAGCGTGGGTTTGGCACTGTTAAGGTGTGGCAGTTAACTTGAAGTGTTGGCTGTAGCACCTGGGCATGGAGGGATTGCGCTCGGTTCATGCAGTGACCTGATTGACCATTGCTCATGAAACGAGTGATTTTTTAATTAATGTATCATATAATTATTTTTATTCCTGCAAATAATGCATTCTGCATTGTGATGTATTTTAGCGGTAATTTAAGGAGTCTTAAGCATACTTCTGTTTCTGGTAGAAATATTTGATCAGCTCCGTACAATATTACAGCTAAAACATTCATTATTTGCAAACATTTTTCTGATATCTTCATTGCTTTTGCTTCCCCATCATGTCCGTCAACATTCTGTAATAATTTTAGTGTGCTGTAGCCATGATACAATTGAAAAAAAACTGTTTGTTACATCATAATTACCGATTCTTACTGGAGCGATTATATATTATATTATAAAGCTTCAATATGGGAATTATCAATCAAAGAAAGGACTGATTTACATGTCTCAATAAACAGTTGTATGTGTATTACATTTGAAAATTTAGTTTTATTTTCACCCCAACCCTATCCCTGCGGAGTTGGCGCGCGCGCCGCCGCCGCCCTGGCTAACAACACGACCGCTCCCATTCCGTCGGTGCGCGTTGGGGCGGCTGCATGTCGGACGATAGCGGGCGGCCGTCTGACGATGACACGAGACTGGGCGGGGCGGGCTACCACCCGACGGGTGTCCTGACGTCTGCCGCCGTGCTTAGTGTGTGATGTGTTCACCACATTTTGTGACTAGAGATAATTGTTTTGTATTATTCGTATGGATAAAATGGCTGCCAATACCGCGCGTAACTTGCAACGGTAAGTTAACAATGAGCGCCGCATTCTTCACTCTGTGATTTAGTCCTCCTTCACTACCCTAAATTTACCAAATAATATTTTAGTTCGAGTCTCCGTCAAAGCGCTCCGTTAACGATTATTTAAACCGCGATTACATTTTTTTATTACCTTCATACAAAGGTACCTATCCAAATATACACAGTGCTATATTATAATGGGTAAATGATATTGATTCGAAGCGCTACTTTACTTTCTTTGTTATAAACAAAGTCAACGTTTATAACTTCTGTATTAGGATAAGGGGCGTGGCTTGCACTAGCTAACCCACAATTCTAACGCGAGATGCGGAGTAAATCGCAGCATACCCTAAGTGTATCTTAAGAAAATGTACCTATATACTTTTGTTGGGTGCCAACTGTTTAATTCCTTTGAATATGCTTAAGATTATATAATAATACAGGTTCCTATGGCAAAGGGATTCTTTTCATTACACTTCAAATCAAATCGGCCTTAAATGTAGTAGAAACTGATGTTCACAGTGCAATCGTATGGACGTATGGTATTCTTGGTGTTCGCAATAGAAATTTGGTTTACCTATAACAAATTAAGAAACCATGAGCCTAAAGTAGCAGGTAAGGTTCTACCTTTAGGAATGATTTTGATCGTGACATTCTGCTTTTCTGAGAAATTTGCTTTCATCCAAACGCGGTGTTGCTGAGCAGCGCGAGAGAGTATTTCCAATACTTCACTTTGCCGGGAAAAAGTCAACGTATATATATAGTTACTGTAATATTTAAATTTGGCGGTAATATGACAACACTACATAGGACAACTTGGCGTTAGATACGAATGCCTATATAAACATAAGAAACTGGCTTTGGTTTGGTAGTAAATTGAATCAGCAGAGAGTAGAGACAAATTAACGGCAAGGACAAGACCACCACAATGCGCGGAAAACTGAAGAAGTTGAAGCTAGATGTAGGTACCAGAGTTCTAGGCGGATGCCCAAATCATGTCTGCACTTACTCAAATTTAATATAGAAGGGGGCTACCTATTTACTCCAGATTACACTAATCTGCGTATAGTCACAAGAAATCGACCCTGAAACGAAAAATGGTTCAATTTAAAAGTTACAATAGATGTTGGCCGACTTATAACGTTCAGTGAAGGAATAGAGGCTATACGCTAACTGTGTCATCGCTATAGACGCAGTTGGTTGTCATAGCCATAGTTTATCGGCGTATCCACGGGCGTTTTTGTTACAATAGGAATAGGAAGTCCTTTTATAGCTTCTGAATTGAAGACAAGAAGAGATGGTGATGTAACAAAAAAAACACCATCTACCTATAGTCTATCAAGTTTTTACAAGCTAAGAAGCAAGCATGCAACAAGAGCACATATTTGTTATTATAGTTATTGCCTGATGAAAATTATTATTAGGTCTATAGCTGTGCATATCATGCTATCTATCTTGAATCTTCCCTATCATGTTTCCTTTAGGAATGACGTTGTCTACAAAATCGGCGAATTCATTATCTGCTAGTAAAGTCAACAATTGTAATCATTTATTTCCCAGACCCTACTGGATCGAATAGATAAATATACCTACTAACCACTAATCAGGGCTGAACTGACCCCGGCACCACGACACGAGCCACCCAATGATTCTAAACATTGTTAATTGGATATACCTTTCAAATTCAAATGTTATATACCTATTACCTACACAACTTCAGGTCGCAACCAGTTGGAAAATGTACCTTGTCCAGAAGGAGTGAATTTGCGACGAATCGTTTCGCGCGAATTAATTCGCGCGTTGGCGAGGTGCTAGGCGCCAATACATCGCGTCCATAAGCATCGCGTGCACTTCGCCAGACGCCGCCGTTTTGCGTCCAGTCATAAATAAAACACCCTTTTTATTTATGGCATCCAGTATACGCGCGAAATTCAGAGCGAGTGCACGTCATATTTTGGACGCTCCTTCTGGACAAGGTTTTAACCGCGATTTCATCTAAACTGAGTGGGAGTGCTGATTAAGGCTCGATGCACACTTGCGTGTTTTCAAGCCGCGTGCAAGTAGCGTGCACCAGGCTTGTTTTTGGAGGACACCAGTTTTTTGGCTACGCCGCCGTACACGCGGCTCCCACAACACATGTCCTGTGGTACCTTTTTGACGCGGATCCCTTGCAGCACTATCGTTCGCATGCGAAACACTAACGAGCACTAACGAGCCGCTTCAAATTCGCATTAGGACAGAGCCAATTTGACAAATGTGGGTCTGCTGCATGAAGTTAGCAGACCCCTTTTTACAACGTTTTGAGCTGTTACACTTGAGCACTAACGTTTACATTGGCGGCATTAACGAGCACTAACTCTGCTAGTTTAACTAGTGTAAAGATTGAATCGATTTTCTTAAATGGGTCTGCTGGCATGAAGTTAGCAGGCCCACAAAATAATATTTTTTAAAAATAGTAAGTTTCCTTTTGTGCACTAACGATTTCTTCAGCGGCACTAACGTGCACTAACGGAACACTAACGATATGAGTAAGCAGAACTATGGTCTGCTGTAGTAGGCCTGCCAAGTTCATGGACATCCACAACACGTCGTGGGTCTTGGCAGTCTGTGGCTGTGCTAGACAATCAACGAGTGCACACTGATCGCGCGATGGAAGTCGTCATCGACACAGAATTATTGCCTGATGCTGTTAAAAACAAACCGACAATATGGTACACGATCAGGACTGTTCCATGATTAGGGTAAAGACAAGAATTTCTTTTCCTATCTGCGAAGATGTTGAAACAGGGAAACGAACGAGCACTAACCAAGGGGAAAACCCATGCTGTTCTTTGTTATTGTATAAATATTCATACACTGAGAAAGCAAACGTAACGCGTTGATAGTCATCCATTTAACTTGGAAATACAGGGAATGCGGCTCTAGCAGCGCAGCGTTCCGCGGTTCAAAACCGCTCCAATGTGTAATGACAGAAACAAGCTAAGTAGTGCACGCGGCTTGTTCGCAGCTTGCACGCGGCTTGAAAACATGCAAGTGTGCATCGAGTCTAAGCTATCATTCGCGTCGCGACGAAGATTTTACACGAAAATACTCGTCAGTCGTCTGTGGTCAAAGCATATAAATGCATGTATGTGTTTTTTTACAAATTCTTATAAACGTTGGGGGAGGGGTTTGGGTTGCAGGGTTTTGGGAGGGGGGAGGGGTAAAATTATTCTCGCATCCGAGAGGAAGGTACCCTAGAAACGGCCCTGAGGTTAATTACATGTTTTTACTATAGCAGCATGAACTTTGGTACCGCCTTTGGGAAAACTCGTTTTCTATAGGATGGAAGATACTCTTGGTTTCGAAGACACCGCCGCCTTACTTCGTCCTAATATCCCACTCCAGGATGGGACAGAAACTCAAACTCAAACTCACTCAAATGCCTCGCCCCGCTCAGCGATGGAACGTAAACTCGGTTTCGGCATATTTATTATAAGCGTTATGAAATATGCAGTATGACCTATTCTCATACATACACTACTTACATGAAATAAAAAAAACACTTTAGTACTAGCATGGCCTAATAATGAGTACTAGTACTATGCGATCAAAAATGAGTTTCCGACACAGACTTCTGATTCGGATGTACTATTCATTTGCTAATGGCATGCTACAAAACCTTAGGATCATAACAAAACATATTCCTTTTATCTTTGTTTATAAAAAACTCTTATTAAAAAACTCTCTTTTGACACCTGAATTCAATGCGCTGTGTTAGTTGCCTATAAGCAGGCGAAATAAGTTTCTAATACTCGCACATTCGTATGGCCACAGCATTGAATTTATGTCATTCCATAAAAATTAGATTTTATTCAAAGATTTTATTCGATGCCGGAGTAGTACTCTTCCCTCCCAGCACCTTGACTCAGTTCCTTCCACGCATATCCCTAACTTTACCCATCCTTACATTCCCTTTCTCTGGTTCAAAGCAAAGAGTATATTACTCAAAGATAATACTACCTACATAAGGTATATTTGTTTGATTGAAGAGGGCCAGGAAACCCTGAGCAGCTCGCCTCTGGTATCCCTAAGGGGTGTCGGAGGAATGCAACACGTTGACCTTTTCCTTTTTCTTCAATGTGGCATTGTACGCTATGATATGATATGGCCGTATACAGGACCGGATTTAATGCTTGTGCGCCCCTATGCCCGAAAAAATTTGCCGCCCGTCAATAATTAATAAGTAGGTATAGGTACTTTTATAAGAAATATTGAATCTCTAATCTATAATAAAGTACGGGGTTTACACACAAGAAGTCCTTTATAAAAATTGAAGCGACAGTCTTCGTCTATCGAAATGTGATATAAAATAGTGGTAAGTTCCCTTTGAAAAAAAATAACCTTTTCACCCTTATATCACTAAACCTAACTTTCTCATTATCAAAGTGTTGCCTTTTACTCGGAGGAACATTATATGGCTGATGGCTCAAATTTTGAATGGTCGCTACACTACCATTCTAATTTACCAAATGAGGCGTACTTATGGAGAATTATTAAAATGAATAAGATGGCAACATTGAAAAAAATGGGTTTAAATCATGGTGTATTAAACACTATTACTTATACTAAATGTAGAAATTAACAATTGACATCGAAACAACTAAAAATATGCAGTGTTCTATTTTAAACAATCAGTTATTTATTTACACAGTTAAAATGGGACACCTTGTACATTCAAAAATAGTTTGTATAGACGAGCAACCATAGATGGGACTCTTTTACTGAGCTGAAATTATCATAAGCGTGCATTCTTATTAAAAAAAAATTTAAATGGGTTTGGCAACGTGAGTCTCTTGGAACGAAGCGCTCCTTAGGCCCGGGTCTTGTGGGCCTAGTGGTAAATCTAGCCCTTAAAACAGTAAAGTTTTCGGATGGCAGATTTTTATTTGAAAAGCTTTACCTTTTCAATTCAGGCATTGGTGACAAGATAAGGCGGGCGCGCCGACGCTGACCGCTCCATAT